CTGGGCAGCTCCTCTCAACAGGACCTGGTGTGTGATCATGGTACAGCGTAGTACCTCTCTGCAAACAATCACAGAAAAACACTAGCACCAACATAAGCACAGTGTCTGTCATCTGTTTTACTGTTAAGATGGCAGCAGGAACCTCAGTGCAGTAAATCCGTCTCTTCCCAGTAATGGACTCGGGCTGAGTTTGGATAAAGCCTGGCAGAGGAACAGAAGTGGAACGGCACACCAGTGTTTACAGCCCAGCTGTTGAATAAGCTGCAGCAAGATACTACCTGAAGGACAAAAGATGTAGTCAATGAAAGAAAGGAATCAAGACAACAACAAAAATACCAGTCTGTAGGTCATGACCTCCTGTTTTCTTTTCAACTCTACCTCTATGCTGTGATGGGAGGCTACAGAAGAAGTTGGCCAAGAAAACCTGGAGTTTAGCACCCAACTCAGGACAATCCCCTACATTATTCTGTCCCACTGACCTACATATGGAGAAAAAGTGGTTAATGTACAGTGTTAATGTGGTTATTTTATTTATTTCAGGTACATACAGTAGCTTTAAATTCTTACCTCTGAAAGAGCGAACTTTCAGCCAGGACTTCCATAAAAGGACCAACAACAAACTGAAGCGAAAGATGAGGAAAAACTCAAACTGAGTATATAAAATCCAACTGAAACAGGTGGATAAACAAGGTCTACATACCTGAGAAAAAGCCAAAGCGAAGTGTGGCTGAGAGAGAACCTGCAGCTCTAGCAGGTGACACACTCCCTCTCTCATCAAGGACTTATTTTCACTGTGGAACATTCGCTGGTACACACACAACAGCCAGGATGGGTGAATGAGGCCTTGGTCTGTAGTTGAAGCATGGAGACATTTTACTTTGAGTTTCATAAGAGCTCATTTCTATTTTATCATTCTGTACATCATCAGTTAATGTTACCTTGACCATCATTCACTGTCGTTTGGATCAGCGTGTCGATCCTGTTAAGAACTGGTCGGACAACGTGAACCTGCACGAGTAGGAAAGAAGCATTGGTTTTACAGTTGTATCAGACTACCTTCTGCTGTATGGGTTAGAGAGAATGAATCTCATCGTCCTCTACCTGATTTTCCTCCAGTGTTTCCATGACCAGCACATAATCCTCCCAAAACTCCCTCAGTAACTTGCCCTTGCCGGGAGCCCATTTGAACAAGGCACTTTCTCCTGAAGCAATTTCAAGAGAAATAAACAAATATTTTCTCTTTGTACAGCACAAAGTACAGTCAGTAGGACAAAAATTAACAAAACTCTACTGTTGTTCAGAAAACCCACCAACACAGAGATGTGTTTCGCAGCCTGTTTTCTTTTCTTTATTATTTTAACTTATTTAACTTTAAATTATTTACCTGAAAATATTTCATTGCCCCAAAGACGATCAAGACTCTGATTTTGCTCTTCTTTTCCAGTAGTAATTTAACACTTGCGCAGCTGTAGCTTCTAAAATTCTGTTCATGTTACTCTATCTTGTAAGGATATTTTGAGCACCATTAGACCTCACAACTTAAGAGAAAGGTTTAACCCATCACAGCACCTTGGTTTTATTTACCAACGACCAAAGACAGGACAACCTGGTCAGTGTTGGACCCAAACCTACTAATACTATCCAGCAGACAGTACATCTTGTGACATCAGGTTTACCTTCATTCATTGGTGACAATGAACACTCCATCGACTCTTCCTCTGACAGCGCCACACACCTTTTCAGAAGATACAACGCTCTTTTACGTGACACACTGTCTTTGTGGGTGAGTCCGTCCTGAATTATCCGCCAAAACTGATGGGAGAGACGAGGGTCAGCGTTACAATTGGAAGAGGAAGAGGGTGTGAGCAGGTGATCTGAGAGGACTGTCAAACACAGCAAAACTCTCTCTGTGACCACGGATGTGCCGTTACTGCAGTACCAGCTACAGAGATCATCTTGGATTGACTTTATGATGCTGCTTGATCTGCCACTGCTGCAACAATTCAGAAGAGTCAACAGGAGTCTGACTGTGGCTTTGGACACCTGTGCAACAGGCAGTGTTTTAATGCAGGATAAGACAGTGGACAGAATTTGAATTGTGATGTTCTCGTCTTCAGAGAGAGAAGGTATAAGAGCAGCCATGACTTCAATGGAAACATCCACGTTGAGCGCCTCCTCCTCTGACACCTGGAGTGATGGCAGTACGGACACAGCCACCCGCCGAGGTACAGTCTCATCACACAGCGGGACACAGGCACTCAGAAGAAGGCAAAGGGCTGCGGTGCTCTCCCTGCAGCGCCCCGGTTCACTTGGTTCTGCTGATATTCGAGCTAAAAGAGGCAGACAATGCGCCCATATGACTGACTCGACTTTATCTTGAATACGACGCCTCTGTGCAGCAGATAACGACGTCTTGTCCGGGTCTGCAAAGAGTTTTTCGAGTCCCTGAATAAAAGCTGTCAGTGCCTTCACCCGTTCTGTCTCCGGCCAAGACTCCGCGGGCCAGCACAGAGACTCGAACAAGCGCTCATAATCAGGAGAGCTAGTGAAGAGTGCGTCGATTAATACTGAATACATGGTTTCGTGTAAAAGCTACTGACAAAGAAAAACTTTAAAATTGTTAAAGATATAAAATGCACCCGGCTTTTTCTCCCCACTTCTATATGTAACACGTTTTTACGACATTGTAAACTTCCGCACATGTGAGGTAAACTCTCGCGAGACATATCATCTCCACGATTTTTTTCAAATCATCGCGAGAACTCGTTTTCAAGCAATTTATCCTCTTCGTTATTATTTTTTATTTAAACAACTGTGTGGTTCTTATTTAATGCTGTCTAACATTACTCGTCGTTATCAAATACATTCTCCAAAGTTCAGTCTTAAGCAGACATTGACAGCGTAGTTCCGTTACTCCTTCTATGGTACATTTACAGCGTTAAAACACGCTCTACGGCCATCTATTGGACTGGAGTATGTATCAGAATTAGGCTGCAACGAAATAAACCGATGTTCGCCCAATTTAATCTTTACATATACATATATATATTTACAAATACAGACCAATGTATGCCCTCCTAAGGTGGGGGCTATTTAAGCTATAAACCATACACAAAAATACAGAGTTATTTCTAAGTTATTTTGATGAGACAGTCATCTAAAATATATACTTTTACACAAATATTGCTAAATCCTGCACAGTGCAATCCATCCGTCTGGGTAGCAGTAGAGAGGCTACCCACTCTGCAAGTATTTGGTCTGTGGGAAATGGACTGAAACACACACACACACAAACACACGTGTGAACAAGGGGGAACATGTACTGCATGTTTGCTCCATACAAAATTATTCTAGTAAATACCATTTTCATTAGCATGTGAATATTTGGTAATGTCAATACTGAGATTGTAGTTTAAAAATGACAATTTGTTCCATAGGTACTGTTAAGAATTTATTTTTATATAATAAAAGCAGTGCTTGAATAAAAAGGAATTGTTCAAAGTTGTGTTATACCACTCTCAGTTAATTCATACATTCATGAAAATGAAATACAGTAAGAGCGTCTCTGTGTTTACAGAACTGACATTCTTTTTCAGTGACTTGACTGAAGGCAGCTTGTTAGCTAGTTGAAAATCAGTTATATAATGCCTGAGAAAACTGGTCAGAAAGGCTTGTTTGTTTTAGGGGTTATATAATACAAAAATACTGCAGATTCTTTACACACTCGCTGGTTACAGAAATAGCACTTCCCCCCAAAAAATCTCTGCTGAAGTAATTAGAAAAGTGGAACAAAGGAAATGGAAGCTTTGAATAAAAGACATTTCATTTTCCCCATCATTAGTTGCCATGCTGTGGCAGCTTTCAGGAAAACAGAACACGGCACCTAAAACAACACAATCTGAAATACTGATTAAAAACATGGGCCAAGGAAATACAGGATCAAATAGTAAGCACCTGGCTTCTCGAGATGACTTCAAGGAAATTGAAGAATTAAAAACGAATGGTTAAAGTAAATAAAAATTGAGAAAGTCACATCTTAAAACTCCAATATTGAATGTTCTAATTTTAGCCTCTAATTTTATTCTCCAGAACTCAAGATATTTGAATTAAACAAAAGCAGTATGTTAAAAAATAATAAAAGATACAAGGTCAAAAAACTTAATAAAATAGTGCAAGTAATGTATATACAATATATACATCAATAAATATGTATATGGACTGAAATGATGCTGAATTTGACGTGTTGTTAAGTCCACATCTCTTTGCAAGAACATTGACAGTGTGCTCACTGAATACCGAGGTGCATTCTTGTATTCATCATCACACAAAATTGTGTTTGAAAAATCAGGTTTAGGTTTGTTAAAGGACAGAATTCAAAGAATGAATTCCAAAAACTGTTCATCACCTAACGTGTCCAGTGAAAGGCTGTTTGCAGACCTGCGGCCGTAAAAAGACGGTTTGGCTTGGCACTGCAACGGGACATAGTAGCTATGATCAAGAGGGGTTTTTGTGTTGGTGGAGATATCTGGGATCCCAAATGTGTAGCTGTGGGAAGAATCAGGCAGCAGTTTTCCCCCGAGAGGTGCCTGAGGGGGAAAGAGACTAACGTCATCCAGGCTGTGGCTGTGCCGATCCACACATATGTGCAACCTCGAATTCAGTACCTTTGGGAGGTAAGTGGAAATGGAGAAGGTAAATACTAAAACAATCAAAAACAAGTCATGAGAAGAACACACGACAGACCTGTTGTAATCTATCGTCTTTGTGCAGTTCTCCAAGAGAATCATTATTGTGGAAGGAAGACACTTTATTGTCTGCAAAGACCACAGAACAACACAGTAAATTAAAGAATTCAGTGCTACAGAAAGTCTTCAGCTGTTTTATTGAACTGCTTGTATCGTCTTTATTACTGATGTTAAAATACCACCTGTAGACATTTTGTCCTACTTAAATATACTACCAGTGAGGGCAAAGAGGCCCTGAGCTGCAGTAGGAAAACAATGGATATCAAGTCACTGGATATGCACATTTCTGAGTATTTGAATTAAGTGTTTGGCCCATATTTGTGCACCAGCAATATAATAAAATAACGTTATTGTAATAACTTAAATAAGAAAAAATTGTATTTTCTACATATACGTTCTTGTCTTATGTAGACAATTATACCTGAAGAATGAGTGACTGAGCAGAGTTCTGGACAATCCACAGACACACCTTCGACTAGATCAGCTAAATGGAACATCTCCTCAGGTTCATCCACAAGAACCTCCTGTGGTTGTTGGACACTTGTCTCTATACCTGAAAATGTAAAAATAAAAACCAATCTGTTCATTCAACTTTACATTCAATTCATATCCATATTTGGTGTGATCTGTCGTGTACTACAGTTGACTATTCTAGTACCCTAACCTTCTTCTCCACATTCCTCATCTTTGACCACAGTTTTGCTGCCTGTTTTCAAGTCACTGCTGCAGGAGCTGCCGTGATTTGCTGCTGAGATGAAACACTTCTCTCCGTACTGCTGACTCTCCTCCTCCAGGGAGGCCATGTCTGTAGAGACGCTGTGTTGACGTCCATCAGCTTCAATGCCAGAGCTGCTGGTTGAATGTCGTGACAGACCAGGGCTGCTCTCGCTGCCGTGAGGGTCCAAGTCCAGGTCGTCACTGATGTACGATTCTCTGTAGCGCTTTTTCTCTGAGAGTGTAGTAAAAATCAGCTTGGTGTTTTTTTTATGTATTCCCTAATGTATAGGGACAAATATAAAATATATTTAAACTGTGACTGTGTCCTTGTTTTATCCCCCCCTGTCATTTACCTTCACTCTCCTCCAACTGGCGTAGGTGTTTGAGGGCAGGCTGGAGGCTGAGATAAAGGCGATGGCTGCTGCTCAGGTGGAGCAGCAGGTGGCGGGAGCGAAACGATGAGCCCGTGTAGTAAACCAGCTTCCTGGCTGAGGGCAGACCATCTGGCTGGATCTCAAATTTCTTTCCCTGAATGGGACACAAAATACATCCATTAAACAACAATTAATTCATCTGATTAAAAGTGTCAATTTAAGGGAGTGGCGTTCTTACCAGAAAAGTGAGACGTCCCACATTTGACCAAGGAAAGTTGTACAGCAGCTGTCGCATGTTGTTCACTTCCTGCAAAATACACAAACACAAATTGGCTTTAATGTCTGGGTGTTTTGGGAGAAAATCAGTTATTGGGTTTGAGAAGATCAGAATGCTTTTAACAATTAATACATTATTTCTCTTTAAACTCTCTTTAAAGAAGATATTACTTTTTCAAATAATTAAACAGATAGTTTAACAGAAAAAGAGCAGAGCTTTTACACCAAGAGTGCACCTTGAATGATTGTGGTGAAGCTTTTACACCAAGAGTGCACCTTGAAAGTGGTGCAAAGCCATTAGAGTATCTGGTCACTGGACTGGCATGTTTTTAAGTTATAACTAAGTTATTTATACTAGCATCCCTAATAATATATTATATTTAATTGTCTTGCTCAATTAGAAATAATATCATTATAAGAAACCATTTCTTAAATAAGACCATGTTTTTGTATGTTTTGATGTTTATATTTTCACATGACCGTCAACCTTTAAACTTGACAAAATCTTATGTCCTCTTAAACAAAAAAACAGCCACACAGCTGTATTCCAACATTTTCATGACACTGTGTTTTCCACTAATTGATCCCCGATCATCAATCTATTTGTTCCAAAGACCCATCTGATCTTGGCAAAGACCTAAAAGGTTTCTCAAGATATCTCACGGTCTCCTGGCTCTTTAATCAGCCAGGCCTGGAGCACTAATCCCCCCAGATGGCCCCTGACGGACAGATCAAACAACTGACTGCATGGCAGATGAATCCTATCTCCTCATGCCCTGCTGGTGGTGGCAATCCCACACATTCCTTGCACATCTAGTCAGAGGGTTTACGGGACCACTGATACAAAGCCTGGATCTTTGAGCAAATGCAGATTCATTCTTGGGAACTTAACGGACGTGCCGACGTACCTACTGTGCATTCATAGTGCACGCACACATGCACGCACCTGATAAACCTGCATTCCTCGCAGGGTCAAGCCGAGCAACGCCGTTCCTCTCTCCTCCTTCTTGTCCTGGACATAATGAATGATGAGATGTCAGAGAGGCATCTGAGACACTCAGATAAGACAGTTATTTCACAGTTAGCCTCTACTGAAAATTTAAAATAAATAATTTAGTGTTTCAATTGAGCTGCAGCTACAATTTAGCTTGGCTTTTATTTGCAATGAACTGTAATTCTCACACTACGTATTTTGTTTTTACTATACTGTAGGTATCAAGAAGCTAAACATCAATATGTTAGCATTTGACAGTTCCTCCTTAACATACTTACTGTTAGTAGACTAACATTAAAAACATTTTTTTTAATGTAGCAAAGGTAGGTAACATTCCAATGTTCTAATGTCTAAAGTGCACTTTCTTCAAAGTGTGGGCTTCAAAACTTAAACTAAAACAAAGAGCCTACCTTTTGCAATCTGTAAAATGTCACAGGCACATCCTCCAGGCGACATGATTCTCTGATGAATGACAAGACGGCATCACGTGTTGACATGCCCCATAGATCCTTATGTACTTTGGGTCCATGGCGGAGAAGGTACTTCATCCCACGTTTTGCTATAATCTTCAGTCACAAGGAAGTGACAGAATCAACACAACAAAGTCTTAAGTTTATTAAGTGTTTGAATCTTTTTATAGACAAATGTGTTTAAATGTTTGATCTAAGATATAACAGGTTTAGAAATTATCCTCTCATATGGCAACACGTACCCAGGGGGGGAAATAATCCTTGGGTTCAAAATATGGGGTGAACTCTGTGTGCTCTTTCGACAGCGGGTGGTCACCGAGGTCAGCCTGCAAGGCGTAACCTGCCAGCTGGAAGTAAACCTCCTCCTGCTGACGACACTCAGAGCGGAGCACCCGCTCGCGCAAATCCGAGTAGTATAGATGTCGTACCCTTCGTTCACTGGTACAACACATTATGAGCAAACAGAAAGTAATGAAGGAGGACAGAGACAGATGGATTACAAACACAAGTTGATGAAGCAATTCAACAACAGAACAGCTTGTAAAAAAAAAAGTATAAAAAACAACATACCAAAGGAGTCTTCCATTCTCTACATAGTACTGCACTTTCAGGCAAAGTATTAGAGGCAATGGTCTCTTCTGTATGGCCTGTGTGTAGAAGAAGAATTAGAGTCAGCCTGTGTGTGAGTAAGCATCTTTTTGTCATGCTAAATATAAAGTTGTGGCATGTAGGTCACTGAACGGCACCTCCTGATTTACTGATGAAGAGTGGGTCACAACAAACCCCTGCTCTCCAACACACATTTGTTTCACAACAACAAGCTTCCTCACCTTCCCTGAATCCTGCCTCCAATCCTTTGGAAAGTACTTGGTCAGTTTCTCCTCCATGTCTAAAAATATGTGCTCATTGTCTGGTATAAAAACAAAGATGACAGAAATCACTCTGACAGTTAGCAAAGCAGTGAGCAAAGCAAACATTAATGCAATGAAGCGTAAAATTGCCTGACAATGGGAGTCATTAGTGCAAAAGAAAAAAGCTGTTGTTCTGTTTTGGAACCAAGCTACTGGGAAGCTAAAAAACTAATAAAAATGTAGCCCTCAACAACCATTGCCAAAACCAACTGATGCAAATTTCACCAAATAGCTATAAAGCTGTAATGAGAATAAATCCATCGTGGCTCAGTCAAGGTCTATGACTAAGGGCATTGGCATTTTTTATCCAATTCATCTCATGTCTTTTGTTCAACCTACAGCCCCACTCTGACTCACTCCAAATGCTTCACCCCTCATCATTCATTGACGCCATTGTGTAAGAGTTGAGTAAGGCAGTCTGTGTCATGACAAATAACTGTTTTTTTTTCTTTCACCCTCCTTTTCCCCATCATCCATCGGTTACTCCCCTCAGTGGCGAGGAGGAATGCAAGTGTGCATTCCTGGCTTAATGAAGTTAATATTGCTGGATTCCAGGCCTAAGTAATCGTTGAAACAATGCCGCAAAAACAAAAGCCTGCCTGATGTCGAGGCGAACCGCTCACGTGTACAGAGGCGTTTCCTATNNAGAGGCATTTCATGTATTTGTAAAAGTAAAGAGAACAAGAACCACATGAAATGGAAAGTAAGTGGATTACGATGTTCAGTGACTGAGAAGGTTGTTGTTGGATATTTTTAAAATGTGGGACATGCCTCCTCTAGGGGGCGCCAGAACATAGGGTAGGACCAGAAAAACAGAAAAGGAAAAGCAGGCGATGTGTCATTCACTGAGCATGAGGTTAGGGAAAAACAACGTCTAGAAAACTGTTGAAGTGTAGAACAGAAAATATATATAGCACAGAACTGGCTCTTTTCTGTTTAGATGTTATCACTAGGAGAGCTCCAACACAATGGCACATAAGCCACAAAAGATTTACCTTACATGGGAAACCATCCTTATTTAAACTGTGGGAAAATCATAGAGGGTGTGGGGGCAACATATAAACCAACTAACTGAAACCAGCTAACTACTACTGCTACAGCAAACAAAAACAAACAAATGATGTAAGATAATGATGAAGTGGAAAACGGTAATAAGTGGAAAACGGTAATATCCTGCTGCAACACATTGTTATACTTACAGTAATTTTGTAGTCAATATAAAAAATGAACCTACCCTTCACCACAGTGAGGCCAAAGAAGTGAAGCTCTTTGAGTCCAAGAAGCTCTGTGACACGGTTGAAAACATCCTTCCCTGTGGATTTTGGCTAAAGCAAGACAGAAAAAAGCAAAAATTACAAATTCAAATTTCTGTGTTCTTGCTGTACATTGTGTTGCAGTAATAGGCAGTACTTGGACCTTCTAATAGGTGTTTGTCTAATGACAGAGCAAGAGATTTAACACTTACTCTGACGGTGATGTCCAGCTGGTCTTTGTTGGGTAGGACAACACAAATGGTTCTCTCTTGTTTTATCAAGGTGGACATGATGTCTGCTGAATGACTGCGATAAGTGGCTGTATCTGTTCTTCTGCTTCACTCTTTTCTTCTCTCTTTTTTTTTATCTATGAATTGTTATCTGTGCCAGGGCAGCTTGTCCATGTTTTGTCTATAACAACAGATGAGGTCAGAGTGGGTTTGACGAAATTATAAAACATGATTCACAGAAAATGAAACAACAGAGAAAGATCAGGAGCATGTCATCAGCTGAAAGAAATGCAATATATTTAAGGAGTAACTTAGGAGTAAACCACAGAGCTGATTTTAACGACAGGAACATACAAACAAAACAAAAATCACAAACATTCAATGAAATTATTGGGATAATTATCACCTAGATGTAAGAAAATTAACTTTCCTGCCAGTATAAAGGTTATTTGCAGACAATGGTTGCAAATCAGAGGTTTCATGTTCCAAGAAAGTGACAAAAAGTGATAAAATTATTAATAACAATTTACTAGATTTGGTAAACATATTACTATCATTTATTGATCTTCCAGATCTTATCAACCAAATCAATCAACACATTGTATATAGGTAATTCAAACATGCCAGACAGCAAATATTTTAAATACAGAATGTGTCCTACTATGTATACTCTGTCTCATACTGTATCTACTGGTGGTGATTAATAATATAGTTCTGCAACACAAAGCCGCATGAAACTGCAGTATTTGCCAACTGTCTAGAAATGGCCAATGGAGGGGGCCGTCTACTTACCCCTGTGTAACCTACACCACCACTTAGTACGCTGACCTGATGTTCCAACTGCTTAGCAGCTCATCTGATTAGAGTCTAAGAATCAATTAAAAAGGTTAATTACTACTGCGTGCAGACCGGAAAGCTCTTAAATCCTCATCTGGATGATGTTGTACAAAAAAGGCGCCAAACAAATAAGAAGTAAAAAGTTCCTGTGTGAATACTTACCCCAATACCCCAATTTCGTTATGTTTAACCGAACATAATGACAACACAGACTATTCTTCTATTCTAAACTTCAGAAATAAATAAATGTGTATTTTAAGCTATTTAGGAATTGTACTTCAAATTGCACTGTCTGATTCCTGATTTTCATAAAACATTTCTGTAAACACTGCAAGTATAGTACCAGGCATTTCTAATGATATTTACTGTATGGACAAAGAGATGAGATTATGAATAAGGAAATAGTAACAGTGAGAGTTCTTGTCTCAGGCGTCAACACACTTGACTTTCCCAACAAGATTTATGAACAAGTTCAAACATGGCCTGACTTACATACAAATGCAAACAGACATTAAACCTGAAATTCCAGTAGTAGTGACATGTTGTTTGTGACAGTCTAACTCCTGTAAATACACATTGTTAAGCAGAAAACAAACGCTGATGTATTTAAGTTATTTAAAAATTAATTTTTAAATTTTAGATTTTCAAATCACAACTTGTTTTTTTAGAAGTTTTTTCAGTTTTTCAGCCATTAAGAGAGGTGATGAAACTTCTGGCCAACTGAAATGCTCTGCCTCATGACAAAATCTTGACACACTCTTGTCAGAGATACAACTGGAGTTTATGGAGTCATTCTTGCACGAACATTTGGAGTTGAACTTACTCAAAATCTTACCTCGAATTTTTTTCAGTGTGTAAATTGTGTATTTATACACAATTAGCTTGTCTTCGGCATTTAAGACAGAGTCTCATTCATCATCAGTCTCATTTTCAAAATCAAAGTATGAGCTTTATGATCCATTTAGCTTAAAGCGGTGACCTGAAAAACACAACAACCATCAGTCCAACCGAAGCTGTCTGACCACCGCAGACTCTGTCTCTTGTTGCTGACCAGGGTGAAACCTGGCATCACATGAGAGCAGCCATCTGTATGCCATAATTCCCCTCCAAGACCGTTTTAATCCCTGAGCTCCTGAGCTCACTGCTGGCCGTTGGAAAAACAACATTCCCTCTACAGTATGTACGGACACAGGGATACTAACAGCGGTCACTGGTAAACAGGGGGATGCCATTAAAAGTTATTCAATTGATTTATTTCTTAATAAACAGCTTTTGGTTTCACCAGCCTTTCTCTTATAAATTAGACGCATTTTTCCCATGAATACTTTTGTAAGCGCGTGTGTGGAGGAAAGCGAGATAATTTAACAAATTAATTGTGTTCATTGCATGAAAAGGGAGAGAGAGCGTTTATTTGGGTGTGATGGCAACCCCACACAACAAGTGCACTCTAACATTATTCTGGCTTAAAATGTCCTGCTAAATATGAGTTCTTAAGTTACTTACCATTATGTTAAGCGAAAGCTACATCCGTCGTAAGTCTTTGCAAGACACGTTGAAACAAACAAGCTTAATTTAGGTATCAAATATTTACAGTTGTAATCAGGACAACTACTTCTCCCCGTCCGCCTGTATTGGTTTTTAAACTTTCTGGTCTTCCACCAACACTGAACCACAAACTATTGGACCATACCACTTTACCCCTTAGTGGGGATGTACATTTAATGAGTACTGAATTTCAACTTTTTTATTTCTATTTTTTTTAGTATACATTGAATCAAAGTTTTTTAGTTAGTATGTTTTGTTCTTATTTAGTTCTTCATTTTTTCGTTTTGGTGTTACAAATGTGATTATAGATTGCGTAAATAAAGTACCCTGTTGATCAACACCCCTATGTTTTAGGTTATTTCAGACGTCCGTGATAATTAGAAGGAGACGCTATTTAAACGATTCATCTTAAAAGGACTGATTTTTTTTAAGCATTGTGCAAAAAAACTAAAGGTTTGCTTAAAGTAGGTATTTCATCTTACAAAACAGATAAATAGAATTCACCACAAATAAAAAACAATAATAAAATAATAAAAATGTTTAGAACGAAATTATTACCAGCAAAGTAGTATTTTAACCAAATTAAATATTTGGGGAGCTCGATATTTACGGTGCGAGCTAAGGCACGTGAAGCCACAAATTTAATTAAAAAAATTTGAGTAAGTAAACAAAATTCATTCAATGCATTTTAAAACTGTGTTGTGTGCTCAAGTGAATTGTTAACTCTAACACCATAGGATACAGGCATGCTACTGTGACACTGCCATCTCCTGGACAATTTAATCAATTTCGAATGTGCAACGAGAATTCAAGAACAATTTTTGTATGATGACTTCACTTAAGAAAAAAGATAACACAATTATTAGATGCATATTTAATGGTAGAGTATGATGTTATACAGTATAAACAACCATTCAAAATACATTTAAAATTCTAAGCAATACTTTCCAGATTACATATACAGGTATAATCACAATGATACCAATCAAATGCTTTTGGTAAAACAAGCTCATTTTACCAACCTGTGCTTCTCTTTAGTCATGACCATTAATTAAAACTGCTCATATAAAGTGTTACGTTGTAGCAAAGCATGTTTCTCCCAACACCAGGTTGGATAATTGTGCAGAATGCAATAGTGACAAAGACTAAGCTGAAGGTTGCAAAATCAAAGCAACCATTCAAATGTAACTTTCAATCTTCTCCTTAAAAATGATGGAAACATTTGGTATAGTGAACCTGTACAAATGATCTATTTCAGTACAAAAAGATTGTGGTGCAAAGAATGCAGTATTTTTTGTTTTAACTGGTGAAGAACAGGTGGTGCAATAATTAGGACAGTATCTGCAGACATGTCACGTGCCATATCACTGCAGCCTTTGTGTTGTTGTTGTAGCAGCTACATTTCCAGTTTAGTATTGAAACTCAATTGAATAACATGAAGGAAAAATAAAATTAATAAAAAAATACATAAATAACACTGAAAGTAAATGACATGATATAAACAATTCCCAAACATACAAAGAAACAATCATTCCAAAATGACAGTATAAAATAAAATATCCACCGTGGTTACAACAGATTGATGAAATTAGTTAAATTGTGATTCTGCTCATACATCATTGAAAAGAAAATATATGGTTTTAAAATCCAAGAGGAACTTCCAGAAACCACAAAGAGCGTGAGGTTTGGATGTCATGAGGTACTAGCTGCACATTCCACAAGTTCAGCCACGTTTGTTTTTGCCACACTTTCATCACTGAAAGAACTTGAGTCCCGCAACGAGAAAGAACTTCTCCAGGAAGATCTCAGAATCGAGGACAGCAATGTGGGCGGCTCGACCGATAAGGGAGTTGGCTGTGTTAGGCAGGGCATGAATGACATCGTATCTCACTAGGTTACAGTCTTTGTTCTGTAGCACAGGCAGCAGCAGGTTCTCGATCATCTCAGCGTAGACAGGACCTGGAATACATGGGACATGGGCAGACATCTAATAAGCAACAGTGCAGGAACATGTCATACTTAAGGATATATATTTTATATAAATAAACCACAATGAGAAATTCTCTACAAAATGTCTTGGTGTTAAAAACTTCAGAATCCATGCATAACTAATGTCTATAAAAACAACTGACTCACCACTTTGTTTGTCCTTCAGTGCAGTTTTGCACATTTCAATTCGAGCAGAATGATATGGAACATAACGGTCCTGCAGTGATCCCACAAGCACCACATTCTTGAAAAACTGCAGACCTTCATCAACAGCAGATCACATACAATGTCATTTCTTAATCCATATATACATGTAGACCTATCATGTTAAAACAAACAGACAACTATAGGCCCTACCAGATTTGTTGCTAAGCTTATAAAGGAAAGTTTGTCGAGGGTCAGAATGATCACGGCATGTCAACTGCAAAAGAGATCCTGACTTTTTCCACTTCTGCATGAACCAAAGGCCTGAAAAAAACACAACAAAAGACAACAGTATTTAAAATGACTAAATGTCATTAGGATTGTTGATTTAATTTCTCAATAACTTAAATGTGTTAATAGCTTACCAGTATTGACTAGTGCAGAACTGTTGTACAGCGTGCCAAGGTGAGGTCCAGAGAGGGAGAGAAAGGTGTGCAGTCTGCTCAGGTAACATTTAAACCTGGGCCTACTTAGAACTGAGCGAACTATCAGGTTTCCCAAAGAATGACCTACAAAGCTGAAAAATGAAAAATAATGATTGCAAAAAAAGTTTTTAAAACCATCATCTCTCATTTAATGAAATAGTTCTGTAGTTTTCAGTCGTTAGAATTATTTAACATAACAGGGTTAAACACAAAGAGGATTTCAACTAGGCAATTGTGCACAATTAAGAGCAAGGAAAAAACGAAAATATCTCAACAGGCAAAAGTTATTTTTGCAATTTCATTTTGTCGTCATCAGTAGAGATAACGGGGCGGCCTTTTAAACATGTAAGATCATATCTGAAGTTTTGGATATATATAGTTATATTTAAAGGGCACTTTGAACAGTCTCACCTACCATAATACTGCACAGAAAACACATCTTCAGGCATTTATAGAAAATATAGAAATATCTCACCTTATTTTTGACACAGTGAGATTGTACAACTGGATGTACTGGACTATTTCATCCAGCAGTCGATCAGTCATTGACTCAAAGTCTGCAAATGTATCATTCTGTAAAAAAATAAAAAGTGTGAAATGAGGAGGGTCAGCCAGTTTAAAATCTCTGTAATGAATGCACAGAAGGATTTGTTTAATTATAAATAGGTTTTCGAATCTATCGTGATTACTGTGTCTGTTCTGAGGGTGTTGATTTACAACACCGACATTTACCCTAAACATTTAGCTTTCAGTTCATCCACTCACCTGGTTCCTCTCAGACATCAAGAAGTCGATACGCGCTCCAGGCAGTCCAAGCTCAAGGTAGGTTTTCACTAGTCTCAAGTCAGCACTATTACCTGCAGCATTGAAGAAAATATTAAATCCATGGTTAACCATTTACAAATGAAAAAAAAAACACTCTAAAAACAACTTCAAGTTTCTTACCATCCAAGCCGTGAACACAGACTATGAGATGGATGCCTTCGTCACAGCTTTCATCTTCCTCGAGGCTGAAGTATGGCACGGTAGACGCAAGCTCAGGCACCTGACTGTACAGAAAACCAGGCAGCCTCAGCTGTTTCAATTCTTCTATGGACTTGATGAACCTGCAAAATGGGATTTAAATAATGTGAGGAGTGGGATTATTTGCAGTGATGTGTAACAGTGAAAGGGATAACTCACGTTCTCATCTGTGGTGTGGGTGCACATTCGTACCACCGTAGGCTAAAGGGAAAGGAGGTGGAGGGACAAGGGGGCCTTCCCCAGTTGTAGGCAACACTACTGGAGGTCAGGCTGGAGCAGATGGCAGCTTTTGATAAATCCTTGGTTTCTTGCAGGTAGCTGATTCCGAGCTGCTCGAACAGAAGCCTCGTGTCTTGAGCAGCTGCTTCCCCAACTGCTGTTTGCTCCTCGTTAGTGACACCATTAGCAAAAGCGTAACCGTCACCTTCCTCGTAGTAACCGTTTTCAATCATCTCGTGCTCTGATTCATCATCCTCTTTCTCAGTCTGTGATTCTTCTTGTATCCCCAGTGTGACAGCGGAGGTTTCTACAGGACTGATTTCAGACACATCGGTGCTGGAACGTGAGCCAAAGTAGTTTTCTACCATACCACGTTTCACAAGGTCGGTGCTGCTTGTGGCAGAGTTACTGGATGGGCAGGTTGTATGAGGTTCACTGCAGGGTTCCTTCACAGTTTCAGAAATAGCCACTCCACCTTGTTCCTGTGCTGCGTCAGTATCTGAGTCAGGTACTATACTCTGGGAATGTGCCACAGAAGTGTCTTGGAAGCAGGCAGCAGCAGTGATATCTCCTGAGAAGACTACGCTTTGCTCTTGCACCAACACACTGGGCTTCCTAGCTCTGACCTCAGATCCACTGGACCCTCCAGATGAACCTTCAACCTCATCGTCCGACGGTAGGGAATTGATGGATGTAAGGGAAGACTGGACTCCACTGACCACACTGGTGTTTTCCAGATTAAGAACTTCTCCAGTGGGCTTCTGCACAGCGCTTTGATGAACAGGCCTTAGAGTGGTGCCCGAAAAGGGTTTCTCAGGCTGAGGAGCAGAGATGCAAACTTCAGCAGCGCCCAACCCTGCAGCGGTCTGTTGTCCTAATAGAGGCTGAGTGGCAAATGAGCTGGGCTCACTCTCAATGCCGGAGTCTGAAAGACGAGATGAGGCACTGGGAACTGCTATATCTGGAAGCCTAATAGACTCAGTCTTTACTGAAACAACACAAGACGGGAAACATTGTGTCGTTTCTTTACTTGGCCTTTCGAACACCGAGTCCATCACAAGCTGTTGATAGTCTGTGCGAATTATCCCAGGAGTATGTTTACTCAGAATTCCATCAGTCTTACCTGTTAAAAGAACAGTCACTTTATCTCCCTGGTATGAGTCCTTGTTACTTGGTTTGACCTCAATTTGTTTTAGCCCATCTGGCCATAGTGACAACTTTTGGTCACTCTGGTGAGTATGTTCGTCTTTGTGAGATGTTTGGTTGCATATTGGGATTTCCCCAGTACCTGCCTGAGGAATATTTTGTGTGTCCAAGTTTGTAGCAGTGAGTAAACCTTGTTGATAATGAGAAGTCTTTGCAATGCCATCTAAAACAGAATCTAAAGCACTGTTCTCAGAATGTGATGCTTTGGCATCACAGTCATAAGTAGAATTGGAATTAGTCCTTAAGAAACTAGAGGTATCAGGTTCCTTATGTGGGTTAAGGGGAGGTTCCTCTTCCAGTTGCTTTGTGGTAGGTTCTCCATAAGGAGCCTTTAGATTCTTGTATCCTACCAGAACTACAGAGTCCTTGGAACCTTGTCTGATCAACTTTTTGGAGTTGTCAGACTTTGAGTTTTTCTTTAGTTTGGCTGACTTGCCTTTGGATTTAGGTGCTTGATCGTAACTGTCAGACCAGGCGGTTTCCATGGAGGCACAACGGGATTCAGGTACAGAGCTGGATGCTGCACTGTAGTCCTTAGACATAGGTTTGTCTGTTTTACTTGACACTGAACTAGTCCTTAAGTTCTGCATCCCTAACCAAGGTCCATCTCGATCTGCATTTTGAAAAAAAAAAAAAGAACCAAAAAACTCAATTATAAAACATGAATTAAAAAAAGAAAAAAAAACCCCAAAGAACTTTAACTAACCTTCAGTGATAGAATCCAAGTATCTGTCTTCAAAGATGATTGGCAAAGAATTAACATCACCATCCAAGTCAGCACATTCCACAGGAAGTGGGGGCAAAGATAGGAAGTAGCTGGAGTTTTTGATAGCAGTTGTCATCTGCTGATGACTGTGAGCACTTAAAGCACCAGATAAGAGAAAAAAATCTGAGTTTTTAGTGTTACAGACAGGTCACGACTGGTTAAGACTCAACATCAGCAAAACGATATTTCATCATCAAAAGAAACATGTTGCAACAACTTACTGCAGTTCCTGATAAGCCAGTGCAGATTGTCGTGGATGTTCAAGACAGAAGAAAGCTTCGGCAAACCGCCGTACCTGCAAGAGCACCACATTACTACTCAACAAACAACGCAGTCTGTCATTTAAAATATCATATCTGAGATCTTTGATCATGTAGATGACACATATTGAAGGAGCGGGAACTCACTCTGAGTGTGTGGTGTTCAGCAGCCAGTAAAGCGGCAACATGCTCCTGCAGTGACACCACCTCCAGAAACTGTCCCCAAAGAGCCATGAGTAGAGAGCAGAGCTGAGCGAGGTTCATGTTCACCAGCTCTGCCAACTCATCAGGAGATTCTGCTTTTTGCTGAAATATAAATACAATGAAGTCCACCAGGGGGCTCAAGTGAGCATACTTTTCTAAAATCACAGCATGTAAAAGTCTTTACTAATAACACACCAAAGTACAAGCATCAAATTAAACTTGTATTTCTATGCGTTGAGTAGGAGGAAATGCTGCCAAGTTTTCCAGTCGTTTAGTATTTTACTGTCAAAAGTACATTAAATAAAAATGTGTTTATTTGAAACGTGGTTTAAATTATACAGCATTGTTCCAATCTTACCTTGACCAATTCACATAATTCAGCAAGGCGAGCCTCCAAGTCCAGTTGTTCTGGGAAGACAGAAGATAGTCATTAATAAGAGTTTTTGCAGAACCAAATGTGGTTTGAATTTTGGGAAAACCCTGTAAGGCAGGCAGAAAAGAAGAAGCTGTGTTAAAAATGCACTAGTGTTAAAATAGTTTTCTTGTAAGACATGACCAGAGAGAGACAGCCTGGAAATGGTAAAGTGTCACTGTGTTAGGAGACTCGCTGATCAAGGCCAGTTATAAAGATGCGAAGAAGGATTTAGTTAATGAAGAGGTGACATGGCAGCAGTTATAAAGACATCATCCTTGGTAAGAGGCAGACCAGGAGATGTGGTGGGTGTCTACTGTCATACAGGAATTTAACTGAGTGAAGGGGAGAAAGAAAAGGAAAGGCAGGAGCTGTAAGGTTTGGGACGTACCTATGTAGACGTGCCTTTGACCCCGGGGATATGGTCTTCTGAGTACTCTCTCATATAGGACTTGCATGCTGGGCTTGGCTAGTAAGATTGCACATATAGGCACATTTAACCTCTTTAATTACTTGCTCATCTGGGATGGATTAATGTTTGTCCACTCATGTGGTTTCTATCTGGAGAATATTGACTAATCTGTTTGAACACTGTTTAGGAATTTGGTGAAACACCAGATTGTGGTTGTGTCATTTTATAAAAAGAGTTAAAAACAATCTGAGGATCACGCAAAATGGAATGGGTAACACAGCAACGATTTGATTTAATTCAATAAGATGCTGAAAAGACAAAAAATATGATAAACTCATGTAAAAAAACATTAGGTATTGTTTAGTATAATTTTATATATTTATAACATACATACCACCTTAACAAGATACAAACTGAATTATTCAGGTAAATTTATTTATATTCTAATTTTAGTGGCAAGGAAACAATTTTACATAATTTGAATACATTAGTTCCAAGTTATTGCTCTATTCTTGGTTTCTTTACCTCAAAATTTCTTCAGAGTGCACATTAAAAAAATCCCCACCCGAGTGAGAACACATTGGGATAGATACCTAGTTCCATTCGATGGGAGAAAGGCAGGTCCTTGGAAATATTAGTAAAATACCCAAAGAGGCCCTGGTAGGCCAGCAGGAGGCAGGAGCAGAGGTTTTGGTGGAGACTGAAGGCGTGTTGCAGACACTGGTCAGTTACCAGAAATGTCCTGCCCTGAGGGACAATGACAAAAAAAACCAACATGACTCCAGTTTGGAGCAACAATATATTTCCTTTCTGGACACAACAACTGTAAAATATTACACTGTAGGCCAGAAATAGAGCATGCTGTGTAAGGTGTGGGCTTCAATGTTCATTTGTTACTGTAGACGTTCCACACACCTGACAGTTTCTCCATGGCAATACTCCTAATGCATGGTGTCATTAAATTAAAAAGTGATTGATGCTTGTTACACCTGGAGGCCTATTAATGTTGCATCACAGAGTGGTGAGGAACAATGCTCCTGTTGACTAATTAACACTGATACATTTACACCACTCTAGCTTGAGGGACAGCGCAAGTGGACCAGGGTTCTGTGTGCAGAGAGGCCAATTACTGTGTCACAGTGGTTTGACAGTTTCCACTTATGATGCATATGTAAGAACACACAACCCGTTATCACAGACGACTGTAAAACTAAGTTATGTCTATGTATACAATGCAGTGGCTCCATAAGTGGTGAAAGTGGGGCTAAAATAGGCATGGTACTATTTCAGTGATTTGTTTACAATCTCCCAGAGACTCCTTTTTATAAATCGTGGAATTATAACACAAGTAAATGAATAAATGATTAAGTGGCTTCACTTACATCTGGTGACACTTGTCTGACATACGTGCTGCCAAACACCACATTCTCTAGAGGTGGGACGATGGAATCCTTGCTTTGTGCAGGGGCATTGCGGTTGAGCCATGTGTTTTTAACTGGTCGCTGAAAGCTAGGCGACAACAAGATGCAAACATGAAACTCCAGTCATGACCAAAAAAACAAGTTATTACAATAAACTCATTGGGGCAACATCTGACCTGATAAGGGGTTGATGTAGAGCCACAAGAGAGGCATGGATGGCAACAGAGACCACAGACAAATGGAAGTAGTCAAACATGACGTTAATATGTTGGTGGATGCCTCGCTGAGGGTTTAAGTGCATACGGAGTGTGCGGCCACTGATGTTCTGCAAAGAGTTTGGATCGTCTGGTCTGTGAAATAAGAGAGACACAATAGGTCTCTATAAATTTTGCTTAAGTGCAGAAACAAATGAAAATGCCAAATGCTCATTCAAGATGATGACGCAGTTCAGATTTCCCAACACCTACGTGTAGTCACCATCTGTGAAATATAAATCCAAGAACAGTTGGAAATCCATCTCACTGAGAGACTCTACCACCTGAGCAGATAGAAAAACAGTAAAGGGTTCAACTGTAGAATGTGCATGTATTACTGAATGATTCTCCATTTAAAAAAAATCTATAAATAAGCTTTAACAACTAGATAAGACTTTTTTGCCCCAATCTTTATATGTTATTGTTTAAGAATTGTTTAAACACACAACACTATCCTATTAAATGAAAATTGTGGACTGAGATTAGGGGCAAATACATGACCGTTCACACATTAAATTACCTTCTTTTCATCTAGCAGCATCATCACTTTAAAAAGGATGACATCGTTGACTGCGACCTCTTCGTTCTTGTACAAGATTTGGAAAGTTTTGCTGCAGAAAGTGTCATCTTGGACTGAGGCAGGAAATGCCAGATCAGAGCCTGGATACAAAAGAATAAACAGATAAACACTTTACTTAAACTTAGTATTTAAACTGAGTCCATCTAACAATAATAATAACGCTGTAATGATTAATGTTCAAACAGATATATTTTGTTCTCATAAAATGCAATAAATGACAAAGTGAAAATGAAAAGTTTATTCTAAGGCGAGGGATGCTTTAAATTGGAAACAGAATCTCTGCCAAGTTCTTGGGTTAGAAAGTGACTGAGAAATACTGCAGAGACCACAATTAAGTTCACCAAGCCATTTCCTCATTTCTTTTTGCGAACCCACAAAGAGGCACAGTAAATATGTAAGAACTAAGTTTATGCATTGTACTCCTGTACAAAAGCTCAAACAACATACATTCAAACAACTTAATAAAAAAAAATTCTCTGATGCAGCATTAAAGCCAAAATAAAGCAAATCTGCAGTAACTACAAGGACTGGAAATTATATCATTTAAATTTGGTAAGACGTGATCAGTATTGGTCAGACTCTCATTAAAAAAAGGACAATATAGGACAATATATAAGGTATAAGGTAAAGCTGATCGTTATAAAACTATTGCTAATTCATTCATTAATTCACTACTATTCAAATGTATCATGCGTTAGTGATTAAAATAATAAAATTTAGTTAGGTTATTTCTGTTGGAGTGAGAAATGGCCTTAACAAATGTTTGTGGTATTTCTTTTAAATCCTTCATGTAACATTTGTGACTAGCTCATGCTCATTTACACCAGCCAGGACCATAAATTCCTCCGGCAGCCTCCGTCCATTTGTTCAGCCACGTGGCATCATAATTGGTCCAGTTGTTTTTATAGTCAAACAACCAGTGATGGATCAAGAGTCAATTTATAAATCACCACACCCTCTGTTGAACGTTTGGCTTTAGTGCACTGCTGCACTTTAAATCTCTCTGCAGACTTAGCAACCAAGAACCACTTAACACATGGAATTTACTCAATGTTTTGAGAGTGCAGCTTTCCTAGGAATAAAGAAGAAACAACATGACATTTAATTAAACTCTGTACTAAGAAAGAATTTACCTCCAGGGTGTAGCAGACTGGCCTCAACTTTGTGTGGGACCCTGGCTGGCACCTTCAGGCTGGTACGAATCTGGTAGAACCTGAAAATACAAGGGAAAATGCAGTGTATATAAAACTAAATAAAGAAAAAACTTGCACTGATGATTCACTTCACGGTGTCATTAGCAGCGCTGTAACAGAAGAGCAAACCACAGTTTGGTAACAAGTGCCTCGACTTGTAAAATGACACTCCACTTTTCATGAATGAATGATGAGCACTTTCTTTCACAGCCACTGATCTAGTAAACCTGAGCTCTTAAAATCCTGATGACCTCAGAGATTCATTCTAGAGACTTTCATCATCATAGCAAAAAAAACCATAAATATATATTTTAAAATGGTCTGAGGTGTTTACAAAGATAAACCTGTTCGATTTTTAGCACAAACTAAAAGCCAAATTAAATATTTTTAAGGCTTACTTTTAATACATGGTATAAAAAGCACATTAGAAAACTCACCCTCTTTGGAACAGGTCCACATTGTAGAACTTGTGGAGTTCCACAGAGAACTCCACTGTTGCCTGGACTTCGGTCATTCTTGGTCTCTACAGGCAGAGGTGCCTTGTATCATCTGGCGTGTGTCTGTAGGCCTAAGTGCACAGGATGTACAAGTAATCATTGCAGCTAGAAGCTAATCCATAACAGAAAGCATCAACATTCCTCTGGAGTCAACAAGATCAAAATTGAGAGTACACAGATGAGGTGTGACCGTCAGCTCTTCAGTTGGATTAAAGCATGGGGCATAAGGAGAATATTTGGCATAAAAACCACTTTGACTCCAAAGTCTAATTTCTTAACAGTGCAGATGAGTACAGCATTAGTGAGATTAGTGAGAGAGGATATACTATACCATCTACTTTCCTTGCAGAAATAGGCCAGATATATAATTGTGCCAATAAGTTAAGATAAAAATAAAACAGATATTGTACATTTTTCCAGGGGGGATTTAGTATGAAATATAAATGAATTAACATACAATAAATAGAAACCCCTTATATATAATATCAGCATAAAATATGAATATTTTTACCAGGAAAATATGTCAAAATGTCATTCAAGATAGTACTGTACTTTCATATTTACACTTAGCCTGCCTGATGTTAAATTACGGGTCACCACAGCAACAGGTATATCAGGTTCAGTCTATAGCAAACAGTCTGACTCCACACTGTATAGGTGTGAGGTAAGGTGCAGACGGATGTGCACACTTGTACTGTCAATATAACAATAACCAGCCTACAGGAGCGGCTGTGGGTGGATATTTTCATACATGATTTAACATTTACAAAAGAATATTACTGCAATGAATTATAATTGTAAACACAAATTCTAACCTTACGTGTCCTGACCATTTATGTAAAAATACATGCACTAAATGTATTTTGGGACAGGCCCATTAGGTTTACAGTTGCTGGATGTGACCCAATTTGACATTATTCACAAAAAGGGGTCCTGTGTGCAGAAAGGATAATATAAGATTCAACACAACAAAAGACAACAGGTCATACCTCCAGGTAAATAACTAATTATGAAAGAGTTGATGGGACTTTTAAAAATATTCATTAACTTCATTCATTAACATTAAATACAATCTTACTCAGTAAACCCTCAAAGTAAATCACAACTCGGCGTTGTGAGAAAATGCAAATGCCTAGGCTAACGTTAAGTGCTCGCGCATAATTGTTTGCAAAAAAGCCGTAACCAGGCAAATGTCTTATTTCCCTAAACAAAAACAAAAATTCACCTTTCACCTGAGATCAATGCCTCTAACGCACTTTAAAAGAAAGCAGTCACCACCACGGTCTGATACGGACCTGTTGAGAAGCATCTGTCCCAGTTCTAACTTGCATCTATTGGTTTGATAATGATATGATAAGACTCGGGTGATAATTGTAAATAGCTCAACAGTGATATCCTTAGGGTTACAGGTGGGAAGCTGCCAAAACAACAATATAGTGAGGGCCCAAGGTTAGGAACGACACTCCCAAGGAACGACAGAACAAAATTAAACGTCTATAAGAAAAAGAAATCTCATAGTTAAAGAAAGTCTCGTAGCTAGTTCACAGACGGTCAAGACAATATCAGCCACCTCCCGTATAGTCTGTCGTTAGCCGAGCTGAAGCTACTCACCATTGCTCTGGCAGGCTAACATTAGCCCGCTAACCTACGTTAGCTCCGATTTCAGTCCTCTCCCTATCCTTTCACTGTGAGGCGTGGACGGAAAAATACCCTACTGATTCTATTGCTTCCTGGTCTCGACTAAGACTTCAGTTAGAGAAGTCGGTAATGTGTTATGTCCACAAGCTATGGAGCTAACTGTACTCTATTTGAATACAGCTGTCTGCCAGTAGCGAACACTACTACTGCTGCTGCCGATGCCCGCTGATGATGTTTAACTGCGCGTCACTGCACATACCTAAAACGCAGCTGACGCTTCATGTAAATGATGTTCCTTGTCAATCGAAATAATAATATAAATATCGATAACAATATTAATAATAATAATAATAATAATAATAAATCTCAAAGAGTTTTAACATGTTTTAAGTTATGAAGCAACTACTGTATTAATTAAGTTTAATACGTGAAAATGCCATTTGGTCTACAGTGTTTTTAAGCTGCAGGTTTAAATATTCCTATTTTTCTTCAGCATAAAATGCAAGAACATTTTAACTAAATTAAGAGCTCTATTTCTACTGACTCACTCCATCTCCAGAACTGCCAAAAACTTTTTATTGGAATAATTATTCTAGTCCTATACTGAACAAAGTGTGATTTTGCGGGTATAGAACTAGAATGCATGTACTGGACCGGCCTTGATCTGCAGTCCAGATCTGTCTGTCTTGGGCATCATGAAAAGGAGGAAACAACAGAGTTCACTGACTGTTATTAAGCTTAAATCATGTTCTTTTTCTGTACAGACTGTCTCCTTCTGTATTGTAACACGTGTTAAGTAAGTTAAGGCTTTTTGTTCGGTGGCTAAAGCTTCACTGTGTGTTGTTCTTGTTTTGTTTCATTTTGAGAGAGTGACAAAGTTTGTCACCTTTGCATAAAGAATATGTGAACTGGTGTGAATGGTTGACTGAACTGCAGTGCTCATTCACCCATTCAGATGGTTTATCTTTGTAGCTGTCTTTGGGTAAAAAACAAATGAACAAACATTTGTCGATTTTGTCATATCCCCCTACTTTTTACCTTTTGTAATAGACACAGCCCATACTAAACCAGTGACACTTGACTGTTGTTTTGACTGCACCGCAAACAATGCTGATTTTACACCATGTTACCATAGAAATCACAGAAAATGTAGATCCTCTTTGACAGAGCAGGACTGTCCTCATGGCTGATTTGCTCTCCTTGACTATGAATACTTATAGTGAAAAACAAGGCCAATGATGGGATGTAGCTGCTAACAAGTGCTTGAACATTAAATTGAAGGTGGAGCATGGTGGAGATCTCCAGTGGAATGCAAAGTTGACACAAGGTAGACTGTTGACTCACACCCCAAACGAATGACAACAGTCAAGCCTATAAGAGACCCCGCACTGTGACCCAGGCAGTTGGGATCCTGAAGAAACAGCTGTGTGGGATCTCTGGTGGAAGAAAACCTCAAGAGCATCCAGCAGCAGGTGGTTTTTCCACATCAAGCTATGAAATGGGTGGAGTCAAAGGGTAAATTAACCTGTTTATAGTATCACTTCAGATTCACCTTTATGGTGGAGGTGAATATGATTTTATTTCTTATTATATTCTACATCTCATATGTAATCTCTGAATGCATTCCAGGAACATACTGCTGTATTTGTCATGCTGCTGCTACATGATTCCACAGTATCTTTGTACAGGACTGCACTCTCAGAGTAAGTAACTGCTAAGAAGGATGCACTTTATATTTTTGCCAAAACATTTGCTATGTTTATGTTCATTATCGTCTCTGTGGTTTGCAGGCATCCTTTAAGCGTGTAGCACTCAATAATGAAGCTTCATAGATTTCTTTACTTCACAGGTTTCTGTTCTTACAACATAACTTATTTATTACAGCTGTATGCCTGTATGGTGTATCAGACATGCATTACATGCTTAAAACATTTAAATTCATTTCACAGCATGACATCACTTTAGCCATAGAGTCAGCATTGAAAACCCTGTCCAGATGTGCAAAGACAAGCAAATCTAGAACTCAAGTGTTAGAGTGTAAACTACAAACAGAGAGAGATGGACTAATATTTATTCAAGGCAGTGGTGCAGCTTTTCAAACACACAACTTTTATATCCTTGCCACTGGTCTCTCTCTCTCTCTCTCTCTCTCTCTCTCTCTCTCTCTTACACACACACACACACACACACAGGCACATAGATACATTTCCAGGACTAACTGGTTGTTCTCTGTTCCTTGCAGCTGTGCGCTTTTCGCCACAACGTAATTTACAATTGGAGCATCAGTCCACATGCCCTCAGATCAGTGTCGGAGAGGATAGTTTCCCAGGTGGTTTGATACGATCTCTTCCCCTATATTTACCTGACATCTACTGTGCCTTTGTATAAATCCTACTGTATTGCAGTAGGATTTCTGTATTACAGTCTAATTACATATATGACTTTTGCACATATAGTGGATCAAAAAGTCTTATTTCATTTTTTTTATCTATAATTAGATCTATAACATGGACACACCACACTGCCTAACAATTCTGCTCACTTTTCCTAGAATTTAATTTGATAAATAAAAAAATTTGATAAATAAAAGACTAACCACTGTTAGTAATCATCCTAACAGTGGTAAATTCATTCCTACTGTAAAGCGTATTGCATAGTTTATTTTTTATACCAGAAGGTGCATCTCAATAAACAGAAAAACAGTTACCAATCAACAGATGAACTTTGTTTGGGTTTAGTTAGAGTCACTTTATGTGATGGTATGTGTCCACTGAGTGCTGTTTCACACTGCTTTGTATATATATTTTTGTTAAACACAGTGATATAGAAATGTGTTAAATTGTGTCTGTAGTAATAATTATCACTATTGTAACTATTATTATTGTCAACTTAATTTAGTATTAAAATGAAATGTACGGGTAAATAGCCTATTAAAGATTTAAAATTGTGGAATGTAATATTTTGGAATTATAATTTATATTATATTAACAGACTGAACTTACATTTTATTTGTATTAACTACTCGTCATCCTTTTGTTACTTTAGGATTTTATATTATGTCCCAGTTTCATATCGTGGAACTGGCGAGACGAGGTACAGTTAAAAAGGTCACGGGGTCATCTCCTCAGCACGTGGCTTATGAAATAGGGCCAGCGTTCAACTTCAGAATCAACACCAGGTGAGGGCGATTAAATTGACTTGTTTGAGTACAGACTGACCCCTTGTGGTGAATCCGGTGAAGTCTGTTTACCCTGTCCATGGTTCTGATTGTCAAAGATGGGCTTAAATTAACCTTGTTTTATACGGCAAAATAATAGTACAATACATTTAAAAATATTTAGAAAAAAAAATCCGGTTTTACTCTTTTTTTTGTTTCAGATCAGCTTATCCATTAGGACTGCCAGAGGAGTTTGCGTTTGTAGCTGTTCTTCGCATGGGCTCCAGCACCATTGATAAAAAGTGGAATATTTGGCAAATGCAGGACATTAATGGAAATGAGCAGCTGGCCATCAGACTCAATGGAGAGTCAAAGGAGGTGGAATTTACCTTCACAGCACTGGATGGCGGGAGGCAGACTGTAGTCTTTGGGCCCCTGCCTTCCCTTTTCAATGACCAGTGGCACAGATTACTGTTGAATGTCGGCACACAATCTGTGACACTCTTTGTGGACTGTGTAGAGATTGGTTCTCAGAGCATTCCATTCCGACAAAAAGTCAGTTTGGATGGATTCACATTGATAGGAAAACTCAAGGACAATCCTGTGATGGCCATTCCAGTAAGTTTTAACGGAAATTGTATTGTTTCCTCTGCTATTTTTATCTGATTAAAATTATAATAATAAGATTTTTCATTATTAAGAGTTCTTTAACAGTTTTTGTTCTGTGCATACAGTAGTTACGTTATAATTTTTTATAATACAGTAGTTATAATATACCATGCATGGTGGTAGAGTTCATGGGTGGAAGCTGACCGTGCAAAGTGAATTATTTAAAATATTTTACACTGTGATCCTAATTATACACATACTAGCTCTAAACAAACACCAGATTTTAAAGCCTGGGAATCTCTGTCATTTCTCACTATCCTGTCTGGTTTTTGTGTCTGAGCATCCACAGGGACAAAACTTTTAGCCCAACACCGTGGTCTACTGTGCTCCTCAAGAAAAAAAACATTGAATGTACCTAATTCATGTCCAACAGTGGTACTACATTGATTTGACAAATTATAAAATAAGGAAATTAGAAACAAATAAACCATTATTTCCAACAATATTGAATAATTAGTGCAGTGCATTCTGATAAATCCAAATAATTATGGTAATTAACATTACTGTGTTTGTGAACTTTGAAGTTACTTCTTTCGCAAATTGAATTTGTTTCAATGAATTTCAATGAATGTTTTTTTATATGAAGCATTTGTAACAACCTGATGTTTTTTTGTTGTTGTTAATAACAGAAAAGCATGTGTAAAATTTAAAGTTTACTTTACTTGTGTGATTATCTAGTTTGATCTGCAGTCAATGCTGATACATTGTGACGTCTCTCGAGCCAGGACTGAGGCGTGTCACGACCTCCCAGCCAGAACACGGGTAAGGATGGAAACAGCTGCTTCAAAGTGAATCTAGAGTTTAAAAAGTCAGGTCAACAGCTTAGGGTAAGAAGAAAGAAGGTTCACATATAAGGACAAACAAAGTTTCCATGTAAATTGACGAAGTTATTTCAGCACTTCTTAAATGACCCGCTTATGCTGCTCATTGTTGGCGTCCCCCAGCGTGGCCCCTCCCTGCAGTGTCCCCTCTGCCAACCCTCCAATCACTTCCTGTGCAACCCAGCACATCATGCATAAACATGAGCTCCTCTTGGCTCTAGGACCACGGATGGTGTAGATAGGTGAGGGGCTTCACTTGGGTTGTTTTGTCCGGGGCTCCTTCAGCCCAACAATTCCCAGACACAGGACCATTTAATTTTTACGTTTCCTGCCCTTGGGGAGATCATGGCTCGGGCCCGCAGCATTAGAGGGTCTCTCCTGGTGCTGCTCCTGCAACTTGTGCTAATTTGCTCCTCTCAAGTAAGACTAACCTCCTCTCTTTTTGTCGTTTTGTTGTTTGTAGACTGATGTGACAGAGGTGCAGGTGAGTGTTCCTTTGGTTCTCTATGAGAAGTTCCATTTTTTAAAATGTGGCTTTTGAGATTCCAGAGTGATTCATCAGGGATATTTATTGCTTTCTTTATGCTTTGTAAAATAGCATTTCATCAAAAGTTTCCTCTATGCAAAGAAAACCTGTGTTTCTTTGTGTTTTTATTCATTTTACTATTTCTGCAAGTAGAAATAATCATTCTGGGTTGTCAGCAATTCCACAGTATCCATGATCCAGTTTTATATTCTAGCGGCGCACCTGTTCTTGTGTTTTTTTATGATGTCTGTATAAAATTGTGAGTAAAATAAAAATGAAAACATCAACAGTAAGACACACAAGGTGATATTTGAAAATATTTTCCTCAGAGGAGTGAGGGATCTCCTGGTCCTCCTGGACCTGCAGGTGTCCCAGGAATTGATGGCATTGATGTAAGTACTGTGATGTGATGTGTCATCACATTTTCTACATCAAGAACCAGTTCATGTGGTTCTTTTGTGGCTGTTAATAAAAGGTTTTGTTTTGTTTTTACAGGGGGAAAGGGGAGTGGATGGTGAGAATGGCCGTGCTGTAAGTACATGACAAAACAGAATTTTAACTCAGGAGTTGTTGTGTTTACCTCTCAGTCATCCTCTAAACTCTATATTCTGCATTTTGGTTATTTCAGGGACCTGATGGTGACGCAGGAAAACCCGGCTCCTCTGGATTACCTGGATTACCTGGAAATGATGTGAGTAAAATGTAGACGTATTTGAAGTTTGTCCCATTACTGACCATCATGAAAAATAAAGGCAGGGTTGATGATGATATGTTAAGGCTCAGATCATTAACTCCTGTTTACGGATTAAATGTTAAATATAGAACCCCTTGTGGATTTTTTGAAAAAGTGCATGCAAAAAAATGTGAGGAATTTGAAAAGCAAATCCAAATTTCCTTTGTTCTGGGGCCTGTGTGTGACAGACTTGGTCTCTCTTTGGGTTTAAAGGAAGGACAAACACACATGGTAACATAATACTACCTTTAGTGGTAAAGGGTGTATTTTGTACATGCAACTTTACATGCAGGTCAGAGAGAATATTAGTTTTTTAAAAATTATAAAAAGTATGGTTTTTAATAGTCCGCTGTCTGCCATTCCTCAGTAACGCCACCAGGATTCTGAAACAACCGTCCACAAAGACGTCTTTGTTCTGTCTGTGCTGTTTTAGAGTCTCCTGTAGAGAATCCTCAGAACAGTGTGGAATGATTCCTGTCAATGGCCTTGTTTAAAGTGAACCAGAGGAATTCTGCCCTCTGCCCCCAATTCTGACGTCAGTATTCATATTAACGTCAGCACACTCTTGTGGACAATATAAAACAACGCTGTAACGTTTACACATCCAACAAGAGGGAAGTAGCATTGCAGTATTTATTAACACCTTTAGGAGGTGTAGATTTACAAAACTAAACCACGCCTACAAATAACCAAGCCCCTCCCACGGAAGTATTATTCTGTAATTTACATTATGAAGATCTGGGGCTGAATCATTGTCAGTGAGAAACATTTAATTGCTGATTTTTTTTTTTTTATTATATCAAGCCTACGGTGAAACATTAATCTGCTCAACTTTGGTTAAAACTTTGTACTTTGCAGGGTTTGAGTGGCCCAATTGGAGATCCTGGACCTGATGGTCCCCCAGGACAGAAAGTGAGTGATGAGCTTTAACTTTCCCACTTTAAAAACTCTAAATGCTATGGTGCCCAGCCGCTGTGCACTGTTTTGGAATGGCAACAGGAGCTGCAGTGCATAAACCAATTCCTCATGACAAATGAGACTTAATCCTGCAAGTCCTCTGTGTAATCTCTATGAGGAATGAAGCCCGGACATCAGTTTTCATTAAGATAAACTTTGCTAGGTCAACTGTGTGCAGCTGAGTCATGTGATTAAGTGAGTTGATTCACAGCCTCATTTAGCAGAACTCTACTTTACAACATTGAAGATGTTTTGTTTTTTTCTGGCATACATACATACATACAAAAAATTAATGAAACTAACTGATTGCTAAAATTCTACAGGGAGAACCTGGGAAACCTGGACCTCGTGGATCAGCTGTGAGTAGGATTTTCCCTCCAAAATTATTAGTCCTAACCAATAACATTTAATACATAACAGCTATCACAGCTGTCTGTTATTTTTATGCATATTGTGTCTACTGTAAAATGATCATGTCTCATCTCTTTTCAGGGTGTGGGTCCAGATGGACCAACTGTAAGTGTTGTTTTTAATATAATGTAAAATGTCATATTTTAAAATGATTATCTCTTATTCATTAAAGCTTTGTCACTATTAATTAATCACAGGGACCACCTGGGCCGTCAGGACTTCAGGGTGAAATGGGTAAAGCCGGACCCCCTGTGAGTAAAGACTAAACTTCAAAATTAGGTTCATACTAAACGGGATTATACTGCACTGTTTGACCTGGTCTTCACAAGCTCGTTTAATATTAGATTTGTACTTATTTTGCCCACTTTAATATGATATGAACGGTTGCACTTTAATGTATAACGTATATAATGTAACACACACACACACACATACTGTATATATATATACTGTATATATATACATATACATATATATATATATATATCAATTTTATGTTGTATTAACATTCTGTAAAACTTCATCCTGTGCTGTAACTGGTGCTACAATATACTTAATTATCATTATTACTATGCCTAGATTGCACTCATACACACAGACATACTCTATGTATAATAATGAGAAGTAATTATTTTCTACTGTAGTATTTAAAATGGATATGCATTATTTACATTTTCTTTTCTTTGCTCAGGGGGCCATGGGTGTTAGAGGACCACAGGGACCCCGTGGACCAACAGGCCCCAGAGTAAGTGATACAGCTTCTTGTGACAGGTTTTGTCTTATAATAAATACACTCAACTATTATTTTCTTATCAGCTAACATCTTGGAAAAGTAATTACATTTTAATTTAACTTTCAAGCTATTTTCATTAAAGTTTCCCCCTTGAATTTCAGGGCACAGCTGGAATGTTGGGCAACACTGACTTGGTAATCAATTCTGCAGAAGACTTAGAAAGATAAATGATTAAAAAAAATTAAATTAACCTTAACTAAAATTTTTACTACTAACTATGAATTTGTTCAGTGTCCAGACTCTTGTCCACCTGGAACCCCTGGACATCCAGGCCTACCTGGCATGAAAGTGAGTTAAATTGCATTAACATGATGTTGTTTTTGTCCTCAAATATATATATATATATATATATATATATATATATATATATATATATATATATATATATATATATTAACAACTTCTTTTATTCTTTGTTATATTTAGGGCCATAAAGGTGTAAAAGGGGAGGCAGGAGAACCAGGCAAACAGGGACACAAGGTAACATACTAAATATTGTCTTCGAGAGAAAATCCAGTACCTGGGCGTGGGAGATTTTTCAACACAATGAATACACATTTACGTTAAAGGGCATAAATAGTTACTTAAGGACTGTCAAACATGTCACTCTCTTCCACATCAGAAAAAAATGATCCCTGACTTATATGTGAAAAAGTGATTCCCGGCTTCACCAGGACAAGCATTATTTGTGCTGCTCTATTTTCTGGAGGAAGTGATACATGCCTGTGTGTAATGACTCTGACATCGTGTAATGTAGGGAGGATGATTTATTAGAAATGATGTTCGAGCAACAACTACCCCTCTCCCTGTAATGTGTCCGTGCACTATATAAATGGAAATGAGTCTGGGCCTATCTTCCTTTATAACGCTGTGCCAGCCTATGATTTACTGTCACTCTGTGCTTCGTCCCCGGGTGTGATTTTCTCCTTCACTAAAAGTTTTACATGCTCTCCTTTCTAAATATGAAGATGTTTACAGTCGAATCCAGAACAACCAATGGTTCTGCTGTGGTTGAAAATGTAAATAATAAAAAAGGCAGACAATAAATGATTAAATAACATAATGAAAAAAGTCTTCTAAACATAAACTATATTAATATTTGGCCTTAAAATCTACAAATAAAATAAAAAATAAAAATAAAAATAGCAGGCTTTTAAAAATGATGTTTAGTTAATGTTGTAACGTATCATCAAATTATCTTTCTTGAGGAAATGCCTTGCCTTCTGTCACATTATTTATTTATAAGAAGAGCAGTTTTTCACCCTTCAACACCATTAAAAGATAATAACCACATTTTAGAGTAGAATCTATTGAATTCTCTCTACTAAAAGAAGCCTAGCCCTATCATCATTTTAAAAAACTGTTTGAGGTTCTTTATAATATTTTAATATTGTTTATTTATGTATTTTTTCCTCAGGGTGAAGAGGGAGACCAGGGAGGTCCAGGAGATGTTGGAACACAAGGACCACGGGTGAGATGCTGTTGAATAAAACATCCATCGTTTGTTCTTTACTGTCTGGTTAATATTTTTTCACTCACTGAGTCACGTGTTGGATCAATTGTAATTTTAGGGCCCGCAGGGAAACCGTGGATCTATGGGAATGATAGGCGCCAAGGGTGAGATGGTAGGCGTTTAAGATTTCCTTGTTTCATCTTAACTCGCATAAATATTTAAATCACTCCGAATCGCTTTCAAATAAATTGAACATTGTGTTACTGTAAAATATTTTAATTAAATTTCTTCTGGCAGGGTCCTCGAGGTCATGATGGCGAGCCTGGTCCCCAGGGTGTCATGGGGGCGACTGTAAGTAAGCCAATATAATTTTATTTTTTAATATAACTGTATATATATATTTGATGTGCAAGTCATAAATATATGATGGAATTAATTATTTCAGGGAGATCAAGGTCAGAGAGGTGCCATGGGTGAGTCTGGGCCTGCAGGCGAAAAGGTTGGTGCCAAATTATTAAGTGCATTTTCTGTTGCCACGACTACATTAAGAAATGATAAGTTTGTCAAAGCAAACTAATCATATTTACGAATTACCCTTTTTTAAACAAGATTTTGGAGTTGGGAGAAAAAGACAAAGGAGGAAATTGCTGCTGAATTTGTGTGACCTTTGAGCTCAAAGGTCATATTACACTAGAAAGGAGTTTTACTGTTTATCGAATTTGTCAGTTTTTTTCACAGTTTATTGTTGAATCATAAATGATCTCTGCTCCAGTTTCATGCAAATAGTATGACCTTAAAGGTCTTTAAGCCAACTTTGAGGTTTTATTGCATTTATAGAAGTCAACTTATTCACTGTTCTGGATGTGAATTTTGTGCCTAATTATATTGTTATGCTATTGATTAGGGAATTCAAGGGCCAAGAGGAATTACAGGTCTGCCGGGTCCCAAAGGAGATCCTGTGAGTTCCTGATCAACAAGAACCGTTCTGAAGTTTTTTTTTTCTTTTTTCAATTAACTCACTTGGTCTTGTGATATTCAGGGGCTGCCTGGACCGGATGGCCGTGAGGGTATTCCTGGGATGCCAGGGGCAAAGGTACAATATGTTTGACAAATTTAAAAAATATTTTCTGTTACCGTCAAGTAAATAATTGCTATTTTGTTGCCAGGATCTGTATGAGCTTGGTTTTTTTACCATCTGTTTATCTGCAGGGAAGCATTGGAAAGGCAGGCGCTCCTGGGGAGGTTGGAACACAGGGGTATCCTGTGAGTATGACCTTTAACCTCCAACTGTCTAAACCCACTCTGATTGGATGCACATGAGTAAACCCACCAGGGGTGATTTACTGTAGTGTAGCTCCAAGATGCTACACTGAAAAACAACTCTGCTTATTTCAGTTCATTAAATGAATTAAATGCAGATCATTTTGTTACCCAAGGTCAAAGGTTCCAAAAAAAGTCTCCAGCTTTTATCTAATTAACATCACATGAATATAATTATCTTTAAAATAAAAAAATCATATCAAATTGTATTTTATTACTGTATTTTTCTCTCTCATAGGGGATGCCAGGTGACCCTGGACCAAAAGGCCTGAGTGGGTCAAAGGTTGTTTTATTTTTTATTTTTTAAATATGTTTGTTGCTAAGTTTGGCCTTAAATTATCCAAATATAATGTTCTTTCCGGTTGTTTCCATGCAGGGAGATGCAGGCGAAACAGGGTTCCCAGGAACACTGGGTTCTGCTGGCAAGTCTGTAAGTTCTGTATGAGCCACGTGCGTTGAACCTGTCTCCTGCTCTCTGTCATGTTTCTTTGTACTAGCATGTTATTTTATTGTCACACCACAGGGGGAGCGTGGAGAGCAGGGAGAGGTGGGACCTATTGGACCTATCGGTGAACCTGTGAGTGTTTTTTTCGCTTTTTGTCACTACCTTCTTCGCAATTCACACAGCTATTTTCAGACTTGTTATTTTGTTGTTTGCATATAGAGTAGCCTTTTTATATGTTGTCTTGAATTTCCTCATTATTTTTTTGTTTACTTCCATTTATTTCAATTGTTTTTAATTGTTTAATTTTGTGGAATTAATTACCAGGTGTTGTATTATTATAATATTCTTCGGCCCATAGGGAGCTATAGGAGAGCAGGGTCCCGTGGGTCCAGCCGGAAAGTCAGGGGCCAGGGTAAGTTGCAGTCACCACAGAGTGAGATTTAATTACTATGTGTATATTAGTTTTCTTAATACGAATTCCTGAAAGTTATATGTGCATTTTCTTTAGATGTGAATGAATATTTAACACCTCTAAATAAGTTATTTTGTTTTCATCCAAAGCTCACTAATGTTTTGAAAACCCACCAAGTAATAGCAGCTTAAAAATCGGTCAAAGAAGAGTGAAGCCACCGAGCTCATAGTCTTGGATGTGGTTTTGTTGGAATGTCTCAGAGAATAGGCTGAGTCGGGATCTCACATGAGGTCTATTTTCGCGGTAAGGGGAGACCTGAGAGGAGCGGACTGAATGAGCTCTCTGTTCTCCCGGCCTGCCCCCGAAGTCAGTCTGTGATCAAAGCAGATGTGAGCAAATCCCAGGGAATATGTGGCGATGCTGAGCTTAAAGTGCAGGAGCACAATGTGCAGAAAAACAACACATCCTCCCTCATTTGGCTACAGCTACTGGTTACTGTATGTAGCAATAACACTACACGTTTGTCAGGTGGCTTTGCAGTGAAAGCAGATGTTATTTCAAATTCAAAAAATAATTATATCCCTGTTGTATTCATTTCCTCTCCCTTTTACTTTCTGTTATTCATTACAGGGGCCCAAAGGTGACCCTGGACTTCCAGGTCTTCCCGGTCCTCCAGGTCTTCCTGGAGTGAAAGGAGAGAGAGTAAGAAAATACCTGCGTCTCATTCAGAGGCTTATACAGATTTTTGACTTCATTGTCTTCAACAGTCAGTCAGATTTATGACCAACAAACAGCAGTTTAGCTCCCTCTAGCGTCTGAAAATATACACATAAAAAAGACCATTCGCGTCATTGACAAACGATATTGTTTTTAACAACAGGGAGAGCGTGGAGAAGCAGGACCCAAAGGCGATCAGGTATAAAACACTGATGCTTTGCAATGTTATACTAATAACTTTTCCTTATTAAAAATAAAGTATGTGTTGTATGGGTTGATTTATTCATGCATTCAATGAGCATTCGTAACTAACTGACAGCATTTTTATAGGGAGAACAAGGTGACGAGGGAAACCCCGGTGACAAAGGAGACTCTGTAAGTTGTTAACGCACCACACTGTCAGTGTAAGTCACGAAAACACAGACCAGTTCTGCACACTAAACTTCTGACTCCAATCCCTGTGTTTTATTGATGCTAGGGTGAGCCAGGAGACCCAGGAGCTAAAGGGGAGGTGAGTTCAAACTGATATATTTTTACTGGAGGATCTCAGAGTTTTCTATTTCACTAGTATCTGTGGAAGGTCTGCACCTCAGTAACATTTTACCTGTTCGGGTGCATCATTTTCTGCTAAGGTCGGTAACCCTGGCGATGTTGGAAGAAGAGGACCTGAAGGAAGTCGAGGCCAGCCTGGTATTGAGGGGCCCCTGGGATCACCTGGACCTCGAGGCATGCAGGGAAACAGAGGACTACCTGGAGTCAGAGGGTCTCAGGGACCTGCGGTAGGTTCAAGAGGAAAAAAAGGGCATGAGAACGAGTAAGGATAACAACAAACTGGAGAGTGAACTCTCAAGGCGTTCAATTTAGAAAAAAACAATTTAAATCTTTTTTATAGTTTCAAATATATCTGAATAAATATATCTGGGCCCACATCTGGTGAACAAATGCTTCAGCTGTGGTCTGTGACAGGATGAGGTTCTACAATGTGATGAAATGACCGGGAGTTACCCCAGCAGCCTAGGCCTAAAGTGACATAATTACAAAAATAATTAATAACTAAAGAAGTAAAGACAAAGAGAGACAGACAGAAAGAAAGAAACAAAGGTACCAAAACGAAACAAAGTAAATATAAAGAATGAAAAAAAAAAACCCTGTCATATCCAGATTTTTAACGTGATGTTTGACAATCACAGCCTTCCATCTCAAGTGTTCTTTTGATTCCATTATTTAATTCATTTTGCTAAAGAAAACTGCTGGAGTAATTGGTCGCTCTTTATTCCAATCATGTCATGCTGGGATTTCCTTTTCTTATTTCTTTATCCTGAACTGGAAGTAATTTTAGAGAAATTCTAAAAAACTCAGTGTTTCAGAAAAGACACGACCATGTTTCTTGTTACATTCTTTTTACCCATTAGTCTGAGGCTCTCTGGTTATTGACAGTTGCTTCCTCACTGAGATCAATAACATTCCATCTCACACATTATACCGTGTTCTTCTGGTTCTTTTATAGTAGCAGACCCTTTGAACACGTGTTCCTTTTTCACTTTTATCACAGTGCAGTTAGAGCTTATTAACTCACCTGCAGGAGACAGGCTCTGGCAGACGTTTCTGCTCCCAGAGAGTATTTTTAAAACCATATGAAGAAAAGTCAGCGAACTGCTGTGAGATTTTATTTTCATTCACTAACTTTACCAAAAAAAAACAAAAACTTCTTCTATGCATCCAGTGCCCTTTTGCTCACCTCAATTTCTTTTTATACATTTCTTTTATATATTTTGCTCAATTGTATTACTTTCATCCCTTTTTATTTGATCTTTTGGCAGAGGAGAAATAGTAGTATGGTAAAGTAAAAAAAGGAAGAAGATTAAAATAGAAGCTCCACAGGATTGTAGCTTTGTAAAACTCACTCTGATGAAGACTTCATCACAGCCTGGGCTCTGTGATAATTGCAGCACAAAGTTCCAACTCTTTTTTTTCTAAAAATAATATTCAAAGGCCCAAAATCAGGATTGATACTAGTTTTACCACAGGCTTAATTTTTCTGTGAAATCGACATAATTATCTATAAATACCTTTGTTTGTTCAGCTAGCTTTAAGCTAACCTTTGTTTATTTACACTATATTGCTGATCCAAGATTTTTTGTTCTCATTATTAGCATTTTTTGGGCTAACTGTTTGATAAAAAACAATGCCATTACTATGTGTTTTCAAGGAAAGCTTTAAAAATCTAGTGGGAAATGACTTTGCATTGAAATTTAAAATAAATTGCACAATTAAAATGAATCTCTCTAGTCTCACTTTTAACCACTAAACCACTAACCACTAAACACATTTAATGCCACTTGTATTCTTCAGGAATGCTGAAGACACTGTTGGCCCCAATCTGACCCCACAAAACTATTTCAGCTCTTGATAGAAACTAACACAGCTACATGCTGAATAAATTAAAATAAAAATACGTTTTAATAACCCAGAATTTAGATGCACATCAGCTCTTACTGAGTCATAGCCTTTTTTGATATTCCAGCTTTTCCTGACTGAAAAAACAAAAAACAAACCAAAAGCAAAAACCAACTCAGAGAAGGCAGTCAGTCAGAAAACAACATAAACATAACTTCCATGCAAGAGCCCAAAGAATAAATAAATGAACAGGAGAAGTGCTCAGTTGATAACAGCTTCACAGGGTCATGACTGGAATGTTTCAGGCTGTGTAATGAAATCTGCACTCTTTTTTCAGGGCAAGGAGCCGAGTGATCAACACATCAAACAAGTCTGCATGCGAGTCATGCAAGGTAAGGAGAGAGAGAAAGAGAGAGAGGGAGGGGGGGGGAGGGGAGACAGTCTTTGACCCCGTTTATCATTCATTTGCACCTCATACCTTGACTTTAATCTTTCCCAGAATGCCTCATTACACAACTACACACAGAGCATCGCCTCTGGTGTCTCATTGATCCGAGCACTCGCTGAATACTCTCAAGTTCAAAGTGGGAACTCGTAATGACCGGAACACCAGATAGGCTTCCGACTTTGTTTATTTGATAGATGAAAAATCCTGTTGCCCGGCTTCAGCAGCGTTTTTTTTGCCGAAGTCACAACCTCTGTTCTCTCTATTCGTCTCCGCAACTCATCTCCTACGCTCATGACTTTTTTATGCCCTGTATGCTGAAAAATTAATTTCACCTCCAGCAGTCCTGTACTCCTCTGCTCTGAGCAAAGAGTCTGTGGAGAAGGAAATTTTCCAAAGAGAATGGCAGAGAACAGCAGCTGCTGCATGAATTTTTATTAGCATCCAAAAAACTAAAAACTTTAAGAGTACCATTAAGAAAGAAGCCACAGGAGATGAACGTTATAACATTCACATCATAAACATACCTTTTTTTGCCACTGCTTGAAAAAAAGTACTCCCTTATGCTCAATATACTAAGGTGAATGAAAAAAATATATTGTGAGGATATCATAATATGGTTTCACCTCAGTCTGAACCGAAGTGATGGAGCGTTGAGTCTTCTTGCTCTGGTATGTTCAACTATAACAAAGAGTCTTGTTCTAAAACCAGCCACAACAACAACAACATTCACAACCACAACCACGACTACATCAACACTGTCACCAGGGTTCATCACCTCCTTTGTTGCTCTCTAACAGAACAGCTTGCCCAGTTAGCAGCTAGTTTGAGGAGGCCAGAGTCCGGCGTAGCAGGTTTACCTGGAAAACCTGGACCTCCAGGCCAACCTGGACCTCCAGGAGACAATGGCTACCCTGGGCAAGTCGGAGCCAGAGGCCTCCCAGGACTTAAAGGCCCATTGGGACTCATAGGACATAAGGGACCTAAAGGTTGATGCGTTTTTTAAAATTTTATCTTCTATTCGTTTTTATGTCATTTTAGTCATTATTGTTTATTAAATTCAGCCATAAAATATATTTTATGTAATGTGTTCTAGGTGAAATGGGAGACAGAGGTTCCAGAGGGCCGACTGTACGAGGTGCAAAAGGACAACCAGGAGCTCCTGGACTTCCTGGTATGTAGAACTTGCTTATTATATACATCTAGCTTCTGGCTGAATACTACCTAGTACCAACGTCCCAGGTTGGGTTGCATCAGGAAGAGCATCCTATGTAAAACCTCATCAAATGACAGTGCAGACTATTGCTTTACTGCTTACTGCAGACAAGCCAAAAGTGATTCCTCTTCTTTGTAGATATTTATGTTACAAGTCAAGAGAAACCCTTTGTTAACAAATAGTTTTGAGTACAGAGTACTGAAAGCAGAATTTCCAGATAATTTGACCTAAAGAAATTCCAGTTTTACAAAATACTATGAACTGAAAAAAAGATGGCACCTGTTTGGTTCATATTGCACACCTCTTCCTTCCCTGCAGACGGTGCTATAACTGCATTTTAAAGACCCTCTCTTGGGCTACACTACATGAAAACTCAAACTATCCCTCTTTATATTAAAAAACCACATACCTTAGTACCGGACACCAACAATGTCTCTTAAAAAAAAAAAGATCAAACACAAAACATGTTTTATTTAGAGCTGTATTACTTACTTATGGACAGTTTCCTCAGAGGCTGAGCTGAGCTCAGCTAAGCACAACCTGCTAATCCTCAGGTTGATTCTTCTTCGTTGGGTATTGAGCACATTTAGCAAACTGTGGTTACTATTCTGCCACCTACTGGCTCTTATTGACTTTGGCACGTTCCCCCTCAAGAGACCTGAAAGGTGAAAAGAGAAGATATGATCATGGTGTCTATTTACTCCAGTCAACTTCACTTCAGTGGAGTTTTATTATGTTCATCCACTTTTTAAACTCTTACATAAACAGAGTTTATAAATCTGACCCCATAATTATGTGTTGCCTTTGTAAACAGTCCAACATCTTGGTACTTTCTGATCATTAACAGCAGTAATGTGTGAAAAAACAGTGAAATGTGTCCTTGTAAGTGTTCCTGTAATGTTCTTCCAATTTTGTCCAGCACAGATGATGTAATGTGTAAAATGTGTACTATACATAGCAAGAAACACTCTACAATTAATTTTACAACCACAGGTGAACCAGGCAGACCCGGCTATGGTCGAGATGGTCGGGACGGGCAGAGGGGCCCTCCAGGTGTCCCTGGACAACCCGGTGTCCCTGGGTCTCCTGGTGCAGCTGGTCCTAATGGTTACTGTGACCCATCAGCGTGCAATCTCCAGGCAGGAGCTGCTCACCAGTCCCTGGATGTGAAGGGACCTGCAGGGAACTAAGAGCCACTCTGGCAGAGAAAGACAGAAAGACTGGAAAATCTCTCCTTAGCACAAAACATTTTTCACTCTCGCTTCCCTCGGGCTGCCTTTGTTGTGGTGCCGTCGATCCATTAACCTCTAGACTTGTGAGCCTGTTTTGTGGCAGCCACATCTCCGTCAGAAGAAGCCAAGAAAAAAATATTAAAAAAAAAGAGACATAAACATCTTTTGTTGTGCTTCATAAGAGATGTTTTGATTGATTCAGGGTGATGAGTTCACATCATGGAGAAAACACGTTTGTTTGTTTGTTTCACTCTCCCTCTACCTCTGCCTTTTTCATTTACATTTTTATTTAAAAAACAAAAAACAAAACAAAAAACACTACAATTTTCTCACACAACACTTGGAATAATTATACACATCAAAATAAATATCAAGATTGTGTTTGGATACAGTGCTTTTTAAGACAATTATTTTCAGTCGTAACAAAGCCCGACTGGCAGAAACTGGTTTAGCCTGTCACTCATCTTTTCATCTTTCATAAAAACACAAAACCAAGGTTTCATTGAGTCACACTGACTTAGGTTTATGTTGTAAATCTGTAAAAAAAAAGTTGTGAATTTGTGCTTGATTATATTTCCTACAAAATAAACAGATTTGCCTTGATGTACAGAAGAAACCGTGCATTTCTGCGACAACATGTGAGGATATATAAACAATGTGTCAATACAACACATGGTGTTTCATTTATTTTGTGTCCTGGAATCATCACCTTACATTAAATGATGGCAGTACCATAACAAACATACATCACAAAGGTGAAATAAAATTATAAATTATAATTATAAAATTATTATTATGTATTCCTAAAAAACAGGCCTCAATGAGCAATTAAAATTAATAAAATTAAAATATAAGTGTGTAGTTGTCACCATACACTACACTATAAGAATTTATAGTACCACACATCTACATGCATTTAACCAGTATCCCAACATATAATATATATAAAATATATTTGGTTTAAATGAGTAAATATATATTTTACATTTTCATTGTAGGCAGATCACTTTAACCTGGCCATTTTAATAGAAACTCCCAAACCAAAGAAACAGTGGACATCCCACTATACATGGATACAAATGGTGAAGAGGTGAGATGTTCATTGAGATTGTACTATTAAATGCTGCCACTTTTAAAACCAATAGGGTTGCTACAATATATATATTTAGGAATATTTAAGTTCATACAAAATATAAAAAAAACAGAACTTTCCTTGCAGTTTCACATTTTATTACAAAAATCTGTTTTATTTTTCTTCTTGATTTCTGTCTAAAATAGTAGGGAAGTTAGTAGTTTGTGCTAGCGACCCTTCTATGCTGTATGTGGTCAGATAAGGTTGAAAGCTCCAAATCAGCCACTAAGTCTCATGTTATTGTGAAATATTTACCCTTTCTTGTGAAAATGTCCTTTTCAAACTCAAACAGCTGGTTCCACAGAAAAGAAACCGTACCTTCGTTCTCTCTTTAATCCACTTCATCCCCTATGAATAAATGAACAGCCTCATTCGTCTGGCACAACTTTATACAAGTTGGTTGCAAAACATCTACAACTAGTTGGAAGAAAAACACCACCAAACAAGAAATAAAGCACTGAATAACATTTATTGCACATGTCTAAGGCAGGAGCCATTAATCAGTGTTGATAAAAGATGCTGCAAAGAAAAGTGTAAAATATAACCGCTGATATCTGGTAAACACACACACACACACACACACACACACACACACACAGTCGAGACCATGCTTTAGAGCAGGCACATCACTGCCTCTGCTCTATATCTAACAGATCACTAAACTGGACGACACAAATAACAGTCAACAACCAGGACCGCAAGAGATCCCTGGAACATAAACTTGTGTTTTTAATTGCATTTTTTCTATAGATAAAGGCAACGAATGAGTGTTAATATTGTTTTCTTTCTAAGTAGCTGATGATGTAGATGTGGTTAACCAAGAGTGAGGTAGATTTTCAGAGAAAACAAAAAGAAACCAAACACAAACCGAGGTCACGCAGCACAGTAAAATGCAGCAGGCAGACATATTTAATCCAAAAGTTCATGCTGAGAGCTTTATCCCTTTTCTTCCTCATTAAAACTTATTTACAGGATTAGAATATTAATGGAAAGCACATGGGGTTAAGTTGCTGCAACAGAAGATAATAAAGCTTAAAGTCAACTCGATTTGGATTCTTTAAGATGTTCAACATTTCACTTGAATGAGTTTCCATTCTGACATGTAATGAACAGACTTCTTCGTGGAGCCTCGAGAAACCACTGGCACCAAATGGACTGTGCCGACAGCCGCTTCATTTATTTGCTCTATTCTCTTAAGTTATGAAAATGATTAGCCCGACTGAAGCCACAAACTAACAGGCATTAATATCAATTCCAGCCTAATTCAATTCCTCTTTCATTCGTGCTCTCTTCTCTTCAGTGCACCAAAAAGTTCACAGATGAGTTTCCTAATGCAGACTCATTTGAATTTAGTCAAGGTCCTTGTTACTGTCTCTGAGGGGAAGCTATTAAAAAACAAACACGAAAATCAGCCACATGAAAGGGCTGTATTCAACAAAAGGAAACAAGAATGTTTTTCCATGGCCAACGGAAGCGGTCGCAGCTCACGCCTCCAGCAGGGGGCTCTTTTGCCTCACAAATAAAATGGACTTAGTATCAACCCACACACAAGACATTTACCAGAGGACTCGTTGCAGGCATGCTTAAAAAAAAAACAAGAAAAAAAAGAAATCTTTGCAGCTTTAAAATGAAATGAATTATAATTTACATGTGTGAGAGCAGGATGACGACATTCTGTCAAGTGAGACATGAAAAGAAAGAAAAAGGAATCGTCAAACTGATCTTAATGATTGAAATAAAGAACAGAAAACATCAGAGGCACCCACAAAATTTCCTTTGAACATCGTCGATGTAAAGATCTGAAGCCTTTGAGTCAAACTATTTTGAAATAGTGTTAGAAATTGAAAAAAGTGAGCAGTGTCATACACAAGACATTCTAATTTCACAAATATATAGGTATGTATACATACAGACAGACATAAATGCATGTCTGTACATTTATACATTGGTACATTCATATGTAGCTATACATACTTAAATATGTTTACATATATACATATAAATATATATATATGTTAACACATAGTACGTATCATTTTATATATATGGACTAATGAATTGATGCACATATACTAACTCAAGCTGACTCAAAACTTCCTAAAATTAGCAAAAATAATATTCAAAATAATCTCACAACAAATAAATAAATTCAAACTTCAGTATTTTAACAACCGCTCCCCATACAAAGTCATCACACAAAACCAGGATGTGGACCGTGAGAGAAAAGTTCAAGTACTGTATGTTGATGAGTTTGATGGCTCACAACAGTGGATGTATGAAGCTGCAGTGTAGTCGTCCGATTTCCTTTGCGTGGCTGCAAATCAAAAATATACAAACGAACCAGAGGAATCATCATACATACACAACACTCTGTAAACAGTAACCGATGTGTTAGTTAAAGGAAAAAAAGAAACATTATTTCAAAGTCGGTTTTAATGTGTCATGTGACCCTGACACATTAAGAGCATCCTTTGATACTGTGATTATTTTGAAAGGTCCCATCCTTTTCCTCATTAGACAAAGAGTTAAAAGCTATACTTCATCCTATTTACAGTTGTAATCAACAGTGAAGGTCAATGTGCGAGGCCTCACACCTCGACCAATTAAACTCAATACATCATTTTCATGCAGAAAAATCTGACCTTGTTGCCTGTGCCTTTAAAGTTGGAAGGTTTTGTATTACAATGACATGGCAGATCGCATTAATCAGCGATTGTTAGTGAAGCGTTCAAACATGTTTGGTGGATTATTTTAACAAACAAATAAGCCATGCAGCCTCCAGTAATTACATTACTGGAATGTCCACATTATAATTACTACAGCTGTCAAATACATTCTTATCCACACACTATAAATAAATAATTTCCACATTAGATGCATCTGCTGCACTTTGGTTGCATAAAGAGTGTCCAAAATATGGTGATTTGTCACACGTACAGTGCATATCTTCAGCTCTCGCTCTCACACAAACACAAACACGGACTCTGATCTTTGCGAGGACATGCACTGACATGATGGTACATTCTGTTCAGCTTTGTGGTTCTCAAATATACAAGTCTTAGGTCATAGCTACATCTTTCAGCTGTGTCTTAGAGTCTTTCAGCCCAGAACTTTACAATTGTTACCTCACTGGACTGAATGTTATGCCTCGAAAATATACCTGCCAATTTCAGCTGAGAGCTAATATATAAATACACAGTATATGAAATTAAATTGTTATAGTACCAGCTCAACCTTATGGTGATTACCTATGTTCATATCTCCCAATTTTTGCAAGTCCTTCAGAAAATGCCCCAGGGTAGTGGACTAGGAATACAAGGATTGATAAAACAGCTTAGCTCAGAGATGATTTGATAACATTGGGCTGAAATCTTAGAGGATACAGAACAGATTAGCCCAGTGCAACTTAGATCTCGTCGGAGGACCATTGCTACATGGTTTACTGATGTAAAGAACAAACTGCAGTAAAGATAGGATGCATATTAACATGATACATAGCAACATTTTTTGCTTAGCAGCTGGAAAAGATGTATCATTTGCCATTATCTAATCTTGAGACCAGAAAACGTAGCTGTGTGACCGTCCTGTTTGTTACAACCATATAAAAAACCTGGTCCTAGTCCGTTAACCAAAAACAACAACAAGTCAAAGTATCTCCCTCAAATCTTTGTTTTCACCTTCTCAAAAGCTCCATTAAACCTCGAAGGCTGAGGACTAGCACAGGTTGGAGGTCTAAAAATCAAGCTGGTCCACACAAAGATAGAAGCCCCTGCATACACACACACACACACATAGAAACACACACTCACGCTTATCTGAAAAACAGGCGAGAAGAACAAAAGTGTGCATAGAAACGCCTGCTCAGAAGGAAAACAAATAATTAAGATAATGTTTCAAACAGGACTGAATGGGACAAAACAAAGTCATTTCACGGTTTTGAAAGAAATAATGAGAGATGACAAGGAATGCATTACACATCACAGTAGGAGATGTAAAAACAAGAAATAAGTTAAAAGTACTGCAATACAAAAAGGGATAAAACCCCAAAGGTTTGCCACCGCATTCTAAAGAAACTTTACACCAATCCCCCAACAAAACAACAACACGCACTGCATCAAATGTTATTATAAGGTGAACAAAAGAGATCAGTTATGAGTGTGTCTGATAAAGCAGAGCCGTGGAAGCGGTCAGATGAAGTGGTTCTGCTGCTCTGAGCCTGATAACTTTACTTCCAACAGTCCAAAATCTCTCTGTCGGGCTCATAAGGATGGCAGGAGACAGTCGCTGGGGTTGCATGTACCAGGAGGTCCCCGGGGTCCTGGAGAGCCAGGAGGTCCATGGGAAGGGATGCCCACAGGACCTTCATAGAGAATTAAACATTGTAAGGTGTGGAGAACTTACCAAAATAAACTCTCTCCATTACCTGCTCAGACAGCAGTGTTAGAAAACCTTTTATTTTATTTTAATAAATAAAATTTACTCGTCATTTACTCGTTGTGAACCCTGCTCCTGTTTAGTTGGACACAATGTTTAAGGAATTGAAGAAAGACACATTTTTTCATAACCATCTGCTGACATCTAGTGAATGAGTATTTAATGAGGAAATCAATAACAGTTTTCTGAAGAACTCAGTGACATTGGATCATTTTAATTAAAATGTATGCATTTCAATGAACACTTCCAAAATGTGTTTTAAAAGACAGTTGGTCTTTCAAACTGTGAACAAAGATTTGCCACTGCCTTGGGTTTTATAATTGTGATACTTAAATTAGGAACAGATAATATTGGTCCAAAACTGTTTGAGGAGCTCAGGTCCCGCTGGAGAACTTACCAAAGTACCTGTTTTTAACGAGAAGTCTTTACAAGCGTGACCTTACTTTACAATTTCCTGAGGAGTTTATCTTAATTATTAGCTCTGTCACTGGAAGGTGAGGCTGGTTTTAGAATTTACTGTGTCATTCGGAGGAAAGCAGACAATGAAATGTGCTTTGATTGAGCAATAACACAATGGACTTTTTCTCCGGGNNTCGGGGGTGAAATTGACGCCCAATGTCAGCCGTTATGAGCGGTGCAGCTGTCAATCACGTACAAGCGCCGACCCTGCTTGTACTTCAGGTGTCTCTCAATGGTATTAAACACATACAAGAAGATTAACCCACAAACTATCTACTATCTACTATCTGGAACACTTCCTGATTGCCACTAAAAAATATATATATATAATGAAAATATTTGGTGGATTCACTGTTAGTCTCCTGACTTCCGATCAAGAAGCAAACATATTTTATAGAAAAAAAAAAAACATATACTATATATAGTTATGGTGGCAGGTGTCTGTTAATTTTCCCTGATGCTGCAAATTTGTGCTGTGTACTTGAATGAAACAATACCTGGTTGACATACCTGGTAGGTACTGTATATAATATAATATAATATAAATATAATATAATATAATATAATATAATATAATATAATATAATATAATATAATATAATATAATATAATATATAAGTTTTTTTTACTGAGGGAGAAAACAGTTCTTCTTCTGCTTTTATTCCTTTTGTGTTAAGTTTGATCATTTTTGTCCCCTACACCACGTTGAATAAATAATTCAGTCTAAACTTGTAGAAACAATTGTAAAAAATTACATCTAATTCATGGGACTCAAAGTTGTAATTTATGATCGTTCATGTTACACATTCACACATTCATATTTGATATTTTCTCATGTGAATTCCATTATAATAACTTAACGTTAAACATTTTCCCTAAAGTCATGATTAAATCTTACTTTGACACCATCACGTATTTTAAAGCTCTCTTAAAAACAAGACAAATGGTTTTTAACTTCTTATTTAGTTTTACGTGCAGTGTTCATCCATCTTCTACAGCTTTAACCTTTTTTTTTTTTTTTTTTGCCGGGCCGCAGGGGTGTTAGAGCCAATCCCATTAGTCATCAGCCGAGGATAGGGTACACACTGGACAGGACCATCGTACAGTTGGGCCACATATAGAGACAAACAACCATTTACACTCATACCAAGGGTCAGGTTAAAGTGAAGGGAGAACCAGGAGAAAACCAACACACACGGGGAGAACATGCCAGCTCCACTCCAAAAGACCTGGGATCAACTAGTAAACAGTGATCTTCTTGCTGTAAGGCAAGATTGCAAACCACTCCACAACTGCGTGGCCCTAAGGCACTTTGAACAGACATCAACACGTGTATGAACTGCTCATACGCGCTGCTGCTGCTGTTGTTGTTCATCTCTCCTGTAAACACAGCTTTTCCTTTTCATCACCATCACATCCATCAACCGCGTAAGGCAATTTTGTGGAAAGGTACACGGAGCAATAATCGAATGAGGCTCTTTTTCCCCCCTCGCCTTATTAAATCAATGTTACAGTGACAAGTTGTGGTGCCCGCATACTGCTCCTATCACAACTTTGCTAATTAGCTACGGTACAAAACGACTAATGCACCGCAAGTGGGCCTGACCCAACAGCAAGCAGCATCAGGTCACACTTACTGGGCTCGGGAAGACAAGCCAACACTGTGATCACTGACACTAAACTATTAGTTTAATTTCTCAGAGATGTCCCTCGTCTGTTCTCCAGGCCTGGAATGTCCTCCTGTGAATCAATAACGCCAGAGCTCTAGTCTGCCAGGAGGCCTTTCACTCTCTGATAATAAAACTGATCAAATTGAAAACTCCTGTACAACACTCATATATCCCAGTCTCCAGTGGACCTGCAGGACTTACAGGACAGCATCCTTCATATGGATGTCAAAGAGTACAAGGTGTCCTTCGCTGAGTGACAGCACATTTTGTTTTGTCATAATCTCCTGCCGAACAGAGACATGCAAATCTGAGCGGGCTGGGAAGACCAGGGAGAGAGGCTCGGCACACTGACGGCAGTTTGTTCAGGAGGTCGTCTAACTTTTCCAGACTGAGGCAGAAATATGACTCACCGCTCTGCAGGTATTAGTGGAAAATTAACACCAACTACATTTTTCCTCTTTTCTTGCCACTTCATCTCACAGTATGTTATACTTTTAACATTTTCACACTTGCAGCTGCAACAACCAAATTTCTGATGCGGGGAATATTAAGTTATATCTCATCTTCATTCTATTTTCAAAAATTGATATTGATACTTGGAGCACAAAAAAAGTCCATGCAGAGCTTTTTGGTTTTTTGGTAATTCAAAAACAGTTAATATGGATAACTAGTTTGTGTATATTACAGTAACTACAGATTCTGTTTTGTTTTTTGTTTTATATTTACAGGAACATGTACCAACTTCTCTGGAATGTTGGTCGTGTAAGAAATAGCCTCAGTGAATTTTCAGATTTTTCTTTAACTCAGAGAACAGGCTGCCGTCAGAGCCTTTTGTTTGAGAAAACACTTAGCTCAAAGGGACGTCAGCGCTGTGACACCACAGTACTTTCTCCTTCAGCTTTAGCAAACACGACACGATCTCAGAGCAGTGGTAATCGCCAACATGCTGAGATGCCAAATGAGGGCTGAGACTAAATGTGGGGTTGGAGAGGTGACACATTCACAGTTCTCTCATATTGTACGCACGCTGCATTCTCCACTTTGAGGAGAAAGTTAAGTCATGTCACAAAACAAAGCCTTTTATCCTGGTGCCATGTCAGAGGTGAACGCTGCCAAACAGACCCCACACTAACTGAAGGGTCTTTGACACACACAGAATGGACTCTGTACTGCAGCTCTGCAGAGGCCCAGGTCAGTCTCATTTATTAATATGAATTTAATGAATGGCTGGTATATTCATTATGATTAACTGATTACAGTCTCAGTTCTCACTACCAACTAGATAAGCCAACTCCAACCCAGTAGATGGCGATAGTGGGGTAACTGAGTTTTTCTTTTGTACTTATCTGTGAAAGTTTCTGGTTTAATTATCAAACCGAATGAATTTAAATGAAAAAATTAAAAATTGCTTTTTGAAAGAAAAGCAATTAATCACCATTAATTAATCACAAGGCCTCCAATTAATTTTTAATCCAACACTTAATTCTCATCCCATTGATTTACACATATAGATTTTCATTCATTCAACCATCTTGTTTTCCATTTTGTCTTGGATTTAAAAGCCTATATTTGTATTTCTCATCATGCCCCTTTCTCTAATTATTAGTTGGTTTGATCATGTCTAACGAAATCCATCTTGGTTCATCTTACCTGGGGGTCCCATGGGTCCTGGATCTCCTGGTAACCCTAGACCGATCTGCCCGCGTTCTCCCTTCTGACCTCTGTATCCTGTAGACAGACAGAAAAGTGCTGCTTAATACAAATATAAAAAATATACACTTCAGACTTCAGAGTTTGTGCTGCAGTTAGTAATATTAGTAGAAAGGCTATTATTTAATTCAATCCCACAACTGCTGGGGTGAGGATAGGGTTTTACAAGTCATTTGAAGATCCCCGTTATTAGGACATTACGCACCAGAGAAAACCGCATACAAAAGTGGACAATGCTGGGCTGAATTATAACAAAAACAAACAAACAAACACCGAAACCCTGTCAAAAATAAATTAAAAAAAATCAGAGCAGTCGTCTGTGCATTAGTGTATGAAGAAGGCAGCAGGCTTACACAGTTTTCTGTCAGCAAAAGAACCACAGGCAAGATTCATAAAGAGAGCAAAGCTTTTTTTAACCCAAGGTCAGACATGTGGGTCAATACGGCATTCAGAGTGACAAAACAGAAAGTTGTTTTATAGAAAACAAACCAAATGCAGAAAACAATCACATCTCTTCAGTGCGACAAGACCCTGACATTCACAAAGTTCAGAATAAATGGGATTCTCTGGGATAAAGTACAGAAAATGAAATAAAAGCCAGCGCCTAAAAGTCTTTCTTCCCCAGACGGCCACAGAAAACAAACAGCATTACATTTATGATGAAATAAACTTTTAAAGTGCAGCTGTCAGACTCGTCACATTCATCGCATGAATTTCGCATGAAGTTACTCAGATTAAAAATGTCTGTAAAAACTGACACTCTTTTTACATCCAATGATTCCACCGTCAATCTACTTATTGTTGCTCTAATAACCTCTCAATAACACACTGTAATTTGCACACACTGTGGGGAAAAATGTTTTTGTTTGCCAATGCACTTTGAGCTAAAAAAACAAAATGTTAAACCGTACTTTGGTGATTTTTCTTGATATTTTTCCATATTCATAATTTCATGATTAGTTCCAACTGATCATGATTAATCATAATAAATTAACCAAGACTTGAATTTTATAGTACTAAATATATTTAGCAAGCACATGCTACACGTGTGTATTTACTCCATGCCAAGTCGGCATGTGGCATTTTAGTACGTGCAGACAAACGTTTTTGACTCGTGTTCCACTCCATGCTGAATCCGTAAGTGTTCACAGTTTACAACAGCAGCAAACCAACATCGGTGTGAAAGTGTGGGCCTGTGAAAATATTTCCCCACGAGGCACACAAGTAATGGAGCCTCAGCACCAGCGCTGGTTGTAGGGAGGGCATCAGAAACACTGAAAAGAGTACCAGGCTTAACACTGCCCAAAGGGGAAATGCTTCAATGCTTACATGTCACAGAAAATAAGAGAGGAAAAAAGGGCTGTGAATGCTCCACAACTCAAAAGAGAGCAAGAGAGGGTAGCAACACATCTCCCCACAGTAATGAGACCCCTTTCAGCACTCACAGACCCCGAGGGATCAATTCAGAGAGGGGACGTACCGTGGTGAAAAGAACACGGCACCTTTACGTCAGAAAGTTTAAAAAAAAATACACAGGGCAAATAATTTTGTGGGGCAAACATATTTAAAAAAATATGGACAGAAAAACATTTAAAAATAAATTCCCTTTCAGAAGCTCTCAGTGTCGTGTCTTTCACATCCTGCAGTACACAAAATAGTAACAGCAGCATCAATTTATTCTCAAAATGCTTTACAATAAAAAAAAACAAATGATCAAAAAAGAACAAATATTTGAGCAGCCGTGTCATCGCACACCAATGACTGTAAAATATTTACTGATAATTCCAATAATAAGTACAGCACAAGCAGAGCGACCCTGAAACAGAGGTTACAGCCTGATGTAATGGAAGACACTTTGTCACAGTCTGCAATAATAAATAAGCAAAATGCAGTGAAATACAAAAAAGAAAGTCAAAAGAATATATATATATGTATGTATAACAGATCACACACAATGACCTAAATCAGAGAATTTTCCATCATAATGTCAAACATAAAAAAACAAACATTAAAAGAATGATAACTAAGCTCTAAATTACAACAAGGGGAGTAGGAGGTGGGGTGGGGGCTTGATGTACTGGATGTGACCTTGAGCTCCAGACTTTCACCCATGCACAGTCAAACCACGGGGAAGAAATTAAAACCAGTGCAGATCCAGCTTAGGGGTTATTTTTCTCCATAAACAATTGATCCTGCCACAATGGAGAACAAGTCAAATTGGATATTCCAAAGGAGCACGGTCTCCAGCCGAGGATAACGAGAAATAATGAGGAAATATTACCCCCAACTCTCTCCTCAGCTGAGTGGCGACACCAGTCAACAGAAATCAAATTAAGAAGTTGCTCCGATTTTTTTTTTGATTTATCAAGGAAAATAACTTTTACCCCTTTTACTTTCAGTAAATATTTATTGCAAGGCTGCACTAAGAATCACCTATAAAACACTCTGTTGAAGCATAAAAAATAAAACAAGCCAAACAAAATCCAGGACATGTGTAAAGCAAATGGAATTAACACAGCACAAATATTTATAGTGGCGTAGTTGCCTATTTAAACTGCATTATTCATGACAGAGAGAGGGCTTTTATAGCGGTGGGTTAAAGTGTAAATGGTCTTGAGTAATGTGAGGTAGATACAAAGCTCAAAGAGAAAGGCCAATGCGATGGTGTTTGGATCTGCACCAAGGCGGAAAACACACACTTTCTCTTCAAAAAGTTAAGACACCGTAGTTCTGCTGCAGACACCGTACAAATCTAAAGGCAGGTCCAAGTATACAGGTATAAAGCCTGGCCAGCAAACCATTAGTGCTGTGTGAGTAGTCAGTGGACACACTCTCTTCACTGACTACTCTTTGTTTTTGTATTTTAGAAGCTTTCTCTCCTGGAGTGAGGTATCAATACTGGGTCTCTCCCCTGTCCACACTGATATTACTTTCTCTTATTCTTCCTTTGTCTTCATACTTTCCAGAGAGCCGCTGCACACCACACTCCTGGACTTCTCTCTGCTTTTCCGCCCCTCAGTCTGCGTTGATATATGGGTGCAAGCAAGAGAGAAATACCCATGAATCCCCACAAAATGCAAGCGTTAGCCTATAATGGTGACCTCAACACAACCCAGCCTGATACATCAAGAAATTCAAGAAAACATTGGCCCAATTTCTGAGTTTGAATCAACGTGTGGCAGTGGATTTGAACTAAGGATGATGGGACAGATGATAGTATCGGGCCACATACTTCATTTGAATACTCGTAATCTCACAGAAAAACGTGCCAACACTGTGACCTGATACTCCATAACGGTTTAGCATTACAAGTAGCTGCACATCAGTCAGCCTCTGTATTCTGAGTTTTTATTTAATTAGTTCAACAATGTCCAAAGTTTGGAGGTGTTTTAACATAAGACTGGAGCAGGACTTACTGTGAGATTTGTTCTGTTATGATATGAGCTTAAGCATTTGACACATTTATGTCTTAGTAAATAGATGAGGACTTCACCGCGTCACCTTCTTGTAGACATGTATTTCACCAACACTGTGTGTTTGTTCATTTGCCACCAGAGTTAAAGATACACTTTTGTTGACTGGAGACGTGACAAGCTGTGTGAAAAGCTCTACTCACTTTCTGTTCAGCAGAGAGTTTAACATAATATTCACATTATTATATTATTATTTCAATAATATTATTAATAATAATTATATTGTAATTTAACAATAAAGGAAAACAGTATATTTTATTATTTTATTTTATTTTTGAATTGAAATATTCTTCTGTTAATGAGAGAGAAAATAAAGCTGTCATTAACCACACTGATGGTTAATCACGCTGCATCACCGTGTGAGAGCATTCAGTGTTCTGAACAGGATTTCTTTTGTTCCATGTCTGAAATGAGTTGGTTATTTTATGTGAGCTTGTGTTACAGTCCATCGGTTTCAACCTGCCAACTGCAGCTCCTACCTTGAGGACCAGGAGGTCCAGGCACTCCTTGTGGGCCTGGTAATCCATCTTTGCCAGGTGGTCCTGGAGGCCCTTGAACCTGTGGAGCTAGGATGCCTGCAGGTGTTTTCTGTAGTGCTGCGGCTCCCAGAAGCCTCCCTGCAGTAGGAGAGACCAAACTCCTCACATGTAGAATTACCGATGATGTTACAGAGCAGACAACACAGAACAATGGAGGGATTAAAAATGTACTACCTTCAATGACTCTCAGTACTTCATTTTGGATAATCATCTTCAGTTCCTCCATGAAGCCCGGGTCTCCCTGTGTGTGGAAAAAAAATACAAAACCCACCAGGGAGGTTTAAAAGACAGAGAAAGATGATGAAATTAGAAGACAGAAGCCACTGCATTTTATTCAGCAAAGATGATACTGTAGAGATAATGTTATCATGGTAAAAAAAAAACTAAAAAAAAAACTGGTGGATGCCTGGCAAAAACTCAATTTCACATTTATATCTTAAAAAATCCACAGTAAAAACAGCATGGAGTGGAGATTACTGCTAAACTGCAGTGTTCAATGAGATTCCACTCTCCTTTATATTTTAACATCTGCTCCTGCCAGAGAAGTGAATTCGTACCGGGAATATTAAATCAGATATTTTATGTCTTAAAAGTGATTTCTTGCTGTTACTTTATGCTCGGGTCTGTAGACTCACTGTGCACAAGAGGAAAATGTAGCCTCCACAACACTGCCTCTGTCTGGCTCTGAATATGCCTCATGTTTATAATGTGCCTAAATACCTGTAGTGTTTTAGAGACGACATATGTTCTGTCGTATTAAATCATCCATTACTGCCTTTTCGAAGCTGCCCTTGTTACACGCAGTGGCCACGATGGCCATTGGATTCTTGCATTAAAAACGTTTTTCATCTTAATATGGACGTTAGTGAACTGCTGTGACCGTCAAGCAGGAGGTGTTTCCACTGCTCCACAGATCTCTAGGTACGCCCACATAATGCTGTCTTTCTGACTGTCTCTATAGCTCTCTCCTGTTCTGACCTTCTGTTGTGTAGAGACGATCAGGAGTGGGAAGCAGAGCACGGCGAGAGAGAGAGAGAGAGAGAGAGAGAAAGTGAGTGTTTGGTGTTTCCAAACAGGGCACAAAAGCTGTACTAGATACAGAGGCTCAGGGAGGACGTAGGCTGGCTTGACTTTTATTAACCTTGGAGCTTTTATCTTACTCACAGTTTCTTTACTCATTGGTTCTTTCATTTTCACAACTCACCAAGAGGGTTCCACGGTCCAGCTGTCCTGGAGAGCCTGAATCACCTTTTGGGCCCGGTGGACCGATGGGCCCGACTGCACCAGGGTCTCCAGAGCGACCTCTTTCACCTTGAACACCTCTTTCACCAGGAATCCCTGAATCACCCTACAAAGAAGAAGCAAACCAAACAAACTCAATCCTCAGATTAAGGATTAGCCATGTTGTATGGAGAATCCTGCTAAAGTATCCATGCATTTCTTTTACTCGATTTTGAATAAACACCTCTCGGGTCTGACAGCACGCCGTCGTAACACCATACAATTATAATGGAAAGCTGCACTGCACATTAAAGTGCCTTAATCTAATCTTGACATCTATTCATGAAATCCTTTAGTTTGTTCACCAAACTGCTTCTTCGGAGGGTAAACAGGAAGGATAGAACTTACACGTTCTCCTTTGGGTCCTCTGTCCCCTGGTTTACCTGTGGATCCCTGAAAAAGACAAATAGGTTTGCTTGGAAGAAATATAGGATAAAAAGCTTATCATGAACCTTTCCTCCAAAGGCACACGGAATACTGATGTTCACAAACAGGCGGGACTGCACACAAACAGGAGGAATTGTGGGAAAGCTCTGTCCTGAATTCCTTGACTTTGAACATGTTCTTTTTATGACTGTGTGTTGATTGTGTTTTTAAGCCAGTGTGCAGAGCTATCATATCTCACTGTACAGCGTTTCTCCTCCTGCTATGTCACGGCTCATCTGTATCACTCCTGCTGCGGTTTGAGAAACGCCTGCTTTCCCCATCAGCTGTCTCAACTGTACAGTGAGGCTGGTGGAGAGAACACCTGTCTCAGGGCTTTGTGTCACGGCGTCTCGTGTCTACCAATCCTTCGCTGTCACTCCTCATTGCTTCCTCACAACAACACCTCCGGGAGCATCTTTGTATCAATTTCCTGCAGGATTACAGCAGCCACGCAGGAGACAATCTGACACCATGTGGGTTTAAAGCAGGCGTCGTCTTTGTGATGATGCCGTTCACCGTTGCTTGCTATAATCTGCCCCACTCTGTATTCCCCCATGCTTGATGAGGGTCTTAAATCTATCATGTCAACGGCTGAAATGTGCTTTCCTGAGCATCAGAACATTACATTAAAACCTCGAGCAAGTGCACGAGGAGGAACAAAAAAAAGCAACCTGCTAGATGGCACTGTTGCCCCACCACAGATTGCAGCACCATTTGACATGGTAAGAACACAGTGAAAGGCTGTGCAATAATAATCATAAAAATTCAATAATAATATCATTTATTATTGATATTATCATTATTATTAATATTATTATATTTATCATTATTATTAGTAGTAGTAGTACTAATTTTCGTAAGGTGGAATTCAAAGTTGGAGTACTAGCAGTAGTAGTAGTATAAATGACATCCTCTGTATCAGGAAGACAAACAATTGTAACGAATTTCATTTAGATACGGAGCATGATAATGATTGTTCTTTGATCTTCATGCAGTGGGGAACTTTTCAGGCAGCAAATGTGTGTAATGTGTTGAATCAGTGAGACAAACGCTCACTTTGGGGCTGTATTTGTTTCAATTTGAGTCAAACGCATCACAAAGAAAATGCATATTTTATCAAAGTGTGCGCTTCCCCTCCAAGGCATACATTTTATCAGTGCCTCAAAACATTAGCCGTACAATTAGACTGCAAAAAATAAGTCAACAAACCATTAAGAGAACAAGGACTGACTGCACATTTTTCTTGTAATATTATCTTTTTTTTTTTAATAAAAAAGAATTTTATACACTCCTGATGTGGTAGGCTGTAGAGCGGGAGATGCAAAAAAAAATCTGCAGTGCCATCTCTCTCTTTCTCGTAGCTCAGCTAATGTAAAGGGCTTTGTAGGTATAAAGGAGGATTTGAATCGTGCACAAAAGGCTCACCTCGTCTCCAGGAGTTCCATCTCTTCCAGGTCTCCCCTGCTCAGGCAGCGAAACACAAACAAAGACATTTTGTATCAGCTCCCATCTTCGATTGGATCAGCACCACTGCTCTCCTGGTAATCTCCACAGTTAATGAGATATCTCAACCACTCCATAATGATCCTGATTGCTGTGTGAACCCTGTTCTATTGTACGCTTGTAGGAAAAATTACAAAAACCATCACTGATGGTAATCACATCGAAGAATGTAATCATCCACGCGACGAGCTTTCCCTAAAATATGTACTTTATCAATATTTCCACGGCATTACTTTCTTATTTGAACGGTAATAGTTCAACGGCTGTGGAATAATTGGCTGATATAAAGGAATGGGGTTATTTCAGACCTTATTTATAACCTGTGCATTATTAGTTGATGTCATGGCAACATACAGAGCAAGAAAAATTCATGTAGCATCCTTACAGCAACACCCTGGGGTCCCTCAGGCCCCGGAAATCCCGTCTCTCCAAGTGGGCCGCGTTCACCCTGTCAGAGAACACACACACACAGGGATATGTCATTCTACAGTCACAAAGGAATGACGTGCAGACTGACAGCTCAAAGAGACTTAGAGGCTGCAGCTCACCGGCTCTCCTGGGATTCCAGGTTCTCCACGTGTTCCGGGCTTTCCCTGTCAATCAGAAGCACAGGAAGAGAACGGACTGGTTTTGACGGCTTTGCGATGGTCTCATGTCTGTCACCTCCAATTTACAACACAATAAACAGGCTAGCACAGCTGAGCACAAACACACACCACAACAAACCTCCTATCTATACCTGAGTTTCTGAAGAAGAGATACTGTGTCAATTGTACCTTTCTTTAAATAAGAATTTTAAAATGTTTTGAAAACCAAGGACATTCTCTGTGGCCAAAATCAATATTTTCTGATTCGCCAGATAAAAATGTCCATGAAATCTGAACAATAGTAACCACTCTGCCAGTTTACAGTCTCATTTTTGTTACTTTTGAAAATCTATGGTTGCTTTTTTTTTCTGCTGAAAACCTATCAGTAAGTCATTCACAGAGGCAGTTGCATCTGTGGAAGTCCATTTTAAAACTCTTCAATCAAAGGGTTCCTTTACCAAAAAAAGCACAAAAAGAATCTTCTGACCACAGAACCCAGTGTCAGGGAACTTTTTACACACAGCTGTGGACGCGTGTATTCCTAAAGTATTCCTAAACTCATGTCCATTATGGTAGGATGCTGGATTCTGCTCACTCTTTAGTAAGTCAGTAATACTTACCTCTGCATTAAGCGTGTAGGCAGTCGATGCTAGCTAATGTTGCATAGATAATAGACGTTTGTCAGGGACATCACCTAAAATCATTATTTAGTCATTTTACTGGTTAAATGAAGGTTCTAGTGAAGTACCAAACACAGATGATACTGTAGTTTTCCTGCATTTTCTACAGGAGACAAAATCTCTGGAAGTTGGAGTTTGTACAAGAAAACAAGAAAATGAATTAATCATAAGAAAATGTGACTTACTAGAGGACCTGCTGCCCCTGGTGGACCAGGAAAACCAACATCGCCCTGAAAAGAAGAAACATTTCTTTTCACCGAGTTGATGAAAAGCTGTACACTGAAAATCTACAGCAAATAAATAGAAATGATTATTTCTAGCAGATTTTAAATACATAAAAAAACAGAAATGTAGAAACGATAATTCTCCGGCGTAGAACTGCTTGCACTGAGGGATGTGTTTAAAATCAGGTCCAAGGCCTGAAATGTATATTTATTTTAAAAGATTTGAAACACGTTCAGCTGTTGTGTGTACCTAACAAAATAACCCCAGTGCTCCCCTGCAGCTGGAGCCCATCTGTGGAAGATCCATGTACAGTAGGTACATAAATGCACCGAGCTGCTGCTGCTGCTGAGTAACTGACTGATTAGATAACTGCATACTGTAAAGGAGATGTACATGTTTTTGTTTTAAAAAGACTGCATAGATGATTACTCATCACCCACTGAAATACTACTGTAGTCTTACTGGGTAGAGTAAAGTACAGTAGTTTGAGAGTATCTGTTCTTGGAAAACAGAAGTGAATTCTCCACAACACTAAAATATTATGTTAATCCTTGTCCTACAGGAAAAGGCTTTTGACCAAAAAATTATTTTTGTTTTAAAATACTGAAAAGTAAACTGTACACAGAACCACCTGCAGAAACAGTAACTTTTTTTTTTTTTTTTTTACAGTATTAATGCTTACTTTAGGGCCAGGCAGTCCTTCCAGCCCTGGTAATCCCATGGCTCCTGGTTCCCCCTGTGTAAGAGAGAGAGAGAGAAGAACAATAATACTGCAGAGACTGGTACAGACAAAAAATGTCTGAATGATTTGAACAAACAAACAAACAAACAAACAAAATAACTTTTGTTCAAACAAAAGTTATTTGTTCAAATTTTGCCAGTAATTATTGTTTTGAGCACCCCTAGATGTGACATTCAAAAGAGTCAACTAGCTAACCTCTGCTGTCATAACTACAAAACTGACATTTTTAATGTGAAAATTATATATAATTTCAACTGCCCCTGCCCCCACTTTGGGAACCACTGGTCTATTAACAACAATATATATTACATTAGCTGGCAGCAAAAAAATCCACCCAGTATGTGAAACACTGTCACATCCTTTTTTTGCAAAATGTTTTTTTTGCAAAAATGTTTATCACTGTATTTTGGTAATTAATAAATAAGTGTTTAATGTACCAACATTGTAAAAATGACAGTTCTCCAACTGTGAGTGTGAAAAGATATGCTATGATCGGGGGCTTACGCCGAGTGCAACAGATGGAAAAGGTTTTCAATTCCATCGTCACAATCGGTTTTGCTGTCTGAACTAAAACCACGAGAAACACAGCGATGCATTCTGTGGAGTGAAAAAAGCCACGGCCTCTGCCTGCCTCGTCCTGCTTACGCTGCCATGAGAGAAAAAAATGCCATTCCATAGAACAGAGAGGCGACCGGCACTGACATAGACAGATTGTGCAGGTAATTGTCAGCCATGTAGATTGTCATGAATAAAGCGAGTGTGGCTAAGAGGAGAGTGGACCAGCCAGAGGATCAGCTGTGAGACAGATTGGGGCAATTTCACCACAGCACACTGGCCGCTTGCACAATTTATTAAAATGTCAAATTAACATCCTGGTGAAAAATCACTGTGCAACAAAACAATAAAAAAAATGCAATCGGCCCCATGAGAACGGAGATTTCTAGATGATGAGTCAAATTGCCTCCATGTCTTTTTGGATTTCAGGCATCATTCTCGGGTTGACGGGGATGTGGGGGGGGCACGTGTAGTGCAGAAAGGGTTCATAAGTCCCCACTGGAGAGACAATATGGTGCAGCAGTTTAATACTTGCAGATGATATCATCATCGCAGTCTAACTGAGAGTGGTTAAATGCTCGGGCTCGAGGGTGTATTGACTTATGTTGGAGACCACCACTGAGAGCCACTTGCAAGTCTCCTCTATTTTTTTCCAGGAGGCACATAAACAAATATTTCATGAAAATGTATTCCAGAATGAAAAGCTTCAACTCACTGCAGCTCCTTCATCTCCTTTGGGACCCTTAAAGATGGGAGAAGAAAAGAAGCGATTACTCCCTGGAAATGTGACGAGTGCTACAATGAGATCGATGAGTACAGTCGGAAAAGACAGGTGGCAACAGCGTTTTGTTGTTTGTGTAATTTATTGCATTTATCACTTCATCTCCTACATCAATATTTCTGTCTGTAAATCGTGTCACATGACTCTGTAAGGCGGGTGAATCATCCCATGATAGAACTCTTCGGCTTCATACTGCATTGTAAACATGGGGGAGGTTGATAAATGGTCTTTAATCACATTAACACATTAAATAATTGATGAACTGTTTGAGGTGTTTTTATTATTTCATTAATATTAGTTAATATTATATCACATATAGATACATGGTGTGGTGTGGTAAAACTCCTCTTAATAGTGGATATTTATAAATAGATCAATAAGTACGGACTTATTTATTTATTTATTTTAAGACAACTATACGTGTGATAAGCTATGGTGGGCCACATAAAATGATGTGGTGGGGCCACATTCGGCCCGCGGGCCTTGAGTTTGACATTAGTGATTTAGATGCTCTCCTATTGATTGCTCACAGCTCTTGGCCTGTGATGGATTCAGTTCAGGGAGAGACATCCTGGAGATTTAGCTGGAGTTGATGTGCGTGTTGCACTGGGGGTATTTCAGGGTCTATTTTTCGTCACTGCCTTGAGTTTAGGTTGTGGTGGATGAGGTTAAGGCCCATGAGTAAATGTCTCAAAGGACTGGGCGAGATTACAAATGGCCTGATAAGGTGGAGCAAGGGAAGGTGATAAGCAAATTGTGTCACTTTGACTCGGCGCCGTGCAGAGCAGATGAAATTCTGAGACACTTTTGCATGTCAATGAGGCTGCGTGTCCCGGGGCAGGTCAGAGACACCTGCTTTAAAGTCAGCCAGCCTCTCGGCCTTCACCATCCTCCAGCTCTCAATGAACATGACTGACTGTGATATAAGGGGCCTCAGAAACTGAGATAACACTGGAGGGCTGCACTGCTTTTTTTTTTATGTCTCTCTCCCAGGCTGCTATCGTAATGCGTCCATGTTTCTAGCATAACATAATAATTGTTCTTACAGGAGCACCGGGAGCTCCAGGCGGTCCCAGGAAAACTCCACCGCTCTGAAAAGACAGTTTAAAAGTTTAGTAAAGGGGTCAGATGACATTCTCTACACAAGCATGTTTTCTTTTTTACTGAATTATTAAGCTTCAGGCAATGTACACAGACCACAACAACACTTTGTACCACAAACACTGAAACCATTACCTGCAGCTTGTACAGGCTGCTCATGCCATTGCCCTCCACATAGGGAACACCCTGCAACACAATCATCGGTGAATTTGACATGGGGACATGTGGCTTCTCAGGCTTTCTGTGTCTTCAACAGGGATCTCTACAGTAGGTCCGCTAATATGGTGCTAAGCCCCTAAAAGCTACATTGAGGAAATCAATAGCCCATTTGGTGATTACAGCAAAATAGAGAAAGGGTGAAGTGGGCAGTGAAAAGATGAGGGAAAAAAACCAACCAAACAAAACAGGCGACTTAATGACCCTCGAGCTGCTGCTAATTCCAAAAGGAGAGCATCTCAGTGATACAAAGAGCGTAATGATTAAAAAAGATTTGTCAATGAGAACTAATCCTGGCTCTTTAGGTTCTAATAGAACATAAGAGCGTGTGTTTTTTCCTTCCCATTCTAGTGTTAAAAAGGAGAAGGATCTATTGAGGATAGAGACAGAGTCAAGCTTCTTATTTAGAAGCCAACAGATTCCNCTCTCACACACCCATCTTCATGGAGTGAAGTTTATGAGAGCCGGGAGTGGGAGGGCATGGCAGGTTCAAGGGGACGGCTGATGAATTATAGATTTGCCTTTAGAAGTGCTTACTCACTGGCCTTTTAGAGGAAAGGGAACATGATTCAATGCCCGACAGCAGGTTGCTACAATTTCATCAGATATGTACTTGTTTGCCAGTCAATAATGTTTTCCTTAACACTTGGAGACAAAACAAGGCTGTCAGTGCACAGGCTAAGTTTTGGGTTCCTCTGTTGTAGGAAAAAGGATCTTTGAATGATGCTAATAAAAGGAGAAGTGAAGTGAAGTCATCTTTGACGGTTTCTTAAATGCAGGTTCAGTAGGTGACTGAGAAAGTGGGAGCGCTAATGTTTACAGTGGCAAAGAAGAGAAAGTCAGTTTAACGAAAAAAGAAGAATCATTGACATTCCCTTTGATTTCAGTTCATGTGCTGCACTTGTTACCACCTACTGTTCTGGCTTCCAAACTTACCGGAGGCCCTGGAAGCCCTGGTGTACCTGCGGGTCCTTCACTTCCCTGCCAAACACAGACCAAAGGAATTTAATGAAATTGTTTTCTCAACAGAGAGCCTTTCTCCAATAACCCAGCACTATAGAAACTGCATTTGCATTAGCATCGACCAAAAACAGACGAAGGACATGACAAGTCCTTCACTGTATAAAAATCTGAAACTGTTCTTTTTCAAATGTCCACTTCAAGTGCTTTACTCTATGGTTTTCTCATTTACAATTCTATTCACTTGCTATTATAGTGCACTCGTGTGCAGCACTCATTCCAACTCCCATCATTTGTAGCCATTCACATTTGTCTGACTACAGCCATTAAGGGGAGCCTGGATTTAGATCCAAACAGGCTAAATGGCGAGCCCATGCTCTGTTCCTTCCTGTCCAAATATATGTCCATATACAGTACATGTGTGTGTATTTATGTATAGATGCACACTCATATATAAAAACATATACATATATACTTACATACACATATATATTGGTTGCCCAGGAGTCTTTTAGTCGTTATGGGACTGCTTGTTGTTTCTTCAGTTCATTTGGATCATATTTATTGAGCATTTTTCACAATGTTCTCTTTTTTCTTTTTTTACTATTATTAGAAATATCAACTTAAGAAAAACAAAACTCAGAAAAACATTTTACTTTGTCTCCTTTTGCTCCATGCTGACCCATTGGTCCAGGTCGGCCCATTATGCCCTGAAAAACAAAACAGCATCTTTCTCAGGTTTGGTGATGAAGTAGGGCTGTCACTGTATCATAGCAATTTAATTATAGAATGATATAAGACATGTCTAACACGAAGCCACATTAAACAAATGGGTTTCTTACCGGGGCCCCTGTACGACCAATCATACCAGGAAGTCCTGGAGCTCCTGAGGGCCCCTGTCAAAGGAATCGTTTTACAAATATTAGGTGATAATAATACAATATACATCACAATAATACTATTAAGGGATACAATCCGTACATAGAATTTAGTAGTGTTGAAACAGGCATTTCTGAATTGTTATAAACACATATAAAATGTGTTTTTTTATTTTCAATCTTTTAATACGTTTTTATCACTAAAATGGGAATGTAAACAGAACTCCAGATTTTCTTTTTAAAGCCAGTAGCAAAGTTTACCTCTTTGTTTAAATGTCCTTTTCACATTGCTCAATTCTATATGTTAACCTGTGAAAAAAAATACTCTAAGCTCTTTAAGGCACGGCCATGTTTTTTAATTACTGTTTGCAAGCTCTCTCTCTCTCTCTCTCTCTCTCACACACACACACACACACACACACACTGTTTTTTGAATTTAGTGAGTACAGACATAATCCATTTCCTAATCCCATACCACAACCTTAACTACATCAAATATACTGCATTTCTAATCGTAATACTACATGAACTCTAACCTGACCCTAATCCTAATACTAATCCTAGTCCCAAAATATATTCTTACAGCATAAAATATCCTATTACTCAGTGAGGGATCCCCACAAGGACAGTGTCCTCCAGAACACACACTTACACACACTTGATGTATCTGTAGGCAAAACACGGGGCGTGGGCACGTGCAGTTTCTTTTGATAGCTCCTTTTGAAAACATGCTTTCAAGAGCAGACAGTGTTGGGGACGACAGGACATTACAATACATTTACATTCTTCTGAAAAGTCACCCTTCAATGTCACCGTGACTTCCAGATGGTACGATGACTGCACAGAATTCATTTGTTCAGATTAAAGTGTTGTTCACTCACCTCGTCACCTTTATCTCCTGTAGGGCCTGGGAAGCCTCTCTCCCCTTTTATTCCCTGCAGGAAGTAGACGCAGAATGTGTGTGTGTGTGTGTGTGTTTTTGTACTAACCATGAAAAGGTACAAAAACTAAAGGTTGATGAGGAACTTCAAAGCGCCTCTCACAGCACATGACTTGAAATTGCCTTGGCTGGTTTTACAATGGATACAACACGGTATCCATGGAAACAGCTGAGCTGCCGCTGACACAGAAGTGTGCAGAGTAATGTGAGAGTTGGAAATCAGCTGCTAGGGATAATATAAGATGTAACTTCTTTAAACAGGGTATTTTTGTTATAGCAGTTTTACCAAATGTGATTTTAATGGTTTCATATGCGTAGATTATCCCCAGTAAATTATATGCAATAATACTGAGTAAATGGAAGTTACATTTACGGCAACAGTTTTTTGTGATGCATAATAAATGCACATACCTCCTCATCAGTCAGGAAGGAATCAAGGGATGCAGAAAATGTTTGGATGCACGAAGACAAGTATCTTTTAAACAGACAATTCAGCGTCTTACGCTACTCTTGACATTTACCAGTAACTGAGCTCCCACCGCAGTATGAGGATATGATGAATTGAGTAACTTAATGTGGAAAAATTGTTTTCAACATATCACAAAGAGAGTGTTATCATCCAAACTCACAGTGAAATGGCAAGGTATTACTGTGAAAACTTCAGCCAGTTTAAAACTGCCAAAGCAATCCTTCAGGTATATTTAGAACAAGGAAAAAGCTTATTTGATTTTGCAACTTATTGTAGCTTAATTATGACCAATTGCCTTCCTACCTTGGGGCCTTCTTTTCCAGGATTACCCATCGGACCTCTGATGCCTGGATCTCCCTGTTGAAGATGGGAATACACAATATCCGTTCATCTAATATGCAAAAAGAAAATATGATTGGTTACAAATTAAATACGGAGTTGATGAGTTTCTTGTACCTTTTCTCCCAACCCGCCCTCTGTCCCCTGTCCACCAGGGGACCCCTTCTCCCCTTTCTGTCCAGGGAGACCAGGAATCTTCGTTTGGCACAAACTGCAGGCATTCTGTCGATGCAGGAGAGGAAAAGACGAAGTAAAATGACAGCACAGTTAAGATTTCAGGAGCTGAGCCGTGACACTTCCTGCCCTTAATTATGTCGAATCCCTCAAGATTAGAACATCACCAGAACAGATGCAGTGTTCTCGAAATGTCAACAGAGCAACAATGATGTGGTCTCACCCCAGGTGTCTCCCATCTGGGTGAGTGTTGAACTTTGCCAACCTCATTCACTGAGACATTTATGTAAGAAATCTAAATGCAACGCTTCGTAATTCAATCAAAATACAACCGGAGTAAAAACAGGACTGGAAAAATGTGAAAAAGTTTGACTTATGTTATAATTTCAAATAAAGGAAGATTTAAAAATGACTCTGTATCGGTACTTAGGGATTTTCTTGCTGCAAAAGACAATCCATCGAGTTAAAAGGTAATTCTACTGTCACTAAATTAAAAAAAACTAAAGGCACAGTAAACCAAATTAAAAAACACCAAATCCTGACTCCATTGTTAATCAAAAATACATTTTTAGGTGCATCTTGGTACTTTCGGACTTAGTTTCTTATACCAAACAGTTGAATTCTAATTAAAGTAAAATACAAAATAGATTGTTTTTATTTTTCACATTTAAAAATACAAGAATAAAAACATATGTTGGCTGAGTCAAAGTGCAAGTTCCTTTGTCAACATTCAGTTCAAACCAGTGATTACAGCATCACTAAGCAACTCAATAGGAAGGCTGTAAAATGTGAAGCACTTAGCCTGACAGAGGAGACTACAGGCATCTGTCAACCTGTAGTTTACTAGCATTCAGCACTGAAATTAAAAAGCATTCTCGCAGCATGTGCCACCCTTCTAGTGGCGACGGGATATGAGTTGACTGACAGAGGTTTAAATTTAAATTAGACCAGACTTTTGTAAATATACAGCTAAAAAAATAGTGGCATTAAAAAAACAGTTTTTGTCATGTTGAAAAACAAGGTAGATGTGTGTGCTACATCTTAGAAGGTTCTACTAGGTTGAGAATATAAAAGGCCAAGTTTTCAAATTGGTGCTTCACGTTTTTGAGTGGTTCCATAGTGTAGCATTATCATGATTGCCTTACACACAGAAGTTCCTAATGGCGCCCCTGTGGCTTTAAGTGGGTTACAAAGACTCACTCTGTGAACTTCCCTATTGTGGGACATAATGTTTTAGACCGTCGGTCAACCTGTAGTTTGTCCCAATCATACTGTAGTAATGAAACAGAAATGTCAGTCCAGAGATGACATTCTTACATCAGATGGACAAAGGCTACCATTTCGTTTTCCTGTGGAAAAGTTCTGACAACTTTATACTTTATATACTTTTTTACGTACTGCTAAAACTCTCCTTGTAAATAACGCTGATGATCACATACCTTCAACAAAGAACCCATGTCTCCGACGATTGGCAGAGCAGTCTGTCAGGGAGAGAAGAGAAATAACCACGTTAAGTCTCATGCATAGTAAAAAAAATCCCAGCTGCATCTGGCACCAACTGTAACATCAATTAATAAGATTATCATTCACTGTTCTAAGGGGCGTGAGTTTGCAAACGTCTTTCTTTTATTCCTAGTGCTTTGTTGTGAGAAAATGAGCATTCTCAAAGTTTTAATGCACTTCTATGTGTGAAGAAATCGGCAACCTAGGTCAGTGCAAGAAGGAAGCTAATGAGTCTTTACATCCACAGTAAACACAATGGAGAAATGCTGAAGTGACATGGTTTAAATGGATGAACAGCAGCAGCACTTTAATCTGCCACGCTGCAGCTATCAGAGCTGGGCTGAGTATTGCTTACTCCAAAACCTGGGAAAGAAAAAGAGAAAGAAAACAGCATGTGCTGACAACATAGCACAGCAAATGTGTTGTAAACTGAAACAACAGTCAGTTACTGAATGATTTTTTTTCCAGCTAATTATTCCTAAACTGAGGCTCTGCTATGAATGGAGCGCTCAGCATTCAGTGGGTGAGATTCAATATTCCAGTCACAGAACAGTGGTAGTGAACTGTAAAGAGCATACATTAGATTTTCTTACTTACTGGTTCACCCGGGGGCCCAGCGGGGCCTGGGGGGCCTGGTCTACCAGGGGAGCCCTTTAATTGAGAAAAATAAAGGAGTTAGTCCCTGAGGCTATGATGTCAAGCAGTCATGCCGGGCTGTAACTCCATTTCCACGCTCATCTCCGTTGGTGGGATGTGAGTCAGGATGTGTGATACATCAGACTTGCTCTCGCTCACAGTAGGACGCTGACATTCTTTAAATCTTCCAGCCAGCCTTTTACTTGCAGATGTGTACAGAATCAAATTAAAGCAGAGGCAGAGTTGAATCTTATTATTTCTCTCACCTCCTTTCCTGGAACCCCAGGAGGGCCAGAAGAACCTGTGAGTCCTCGTGAGCCCTTTAAAAAAAACACAACCAGACACAAATGATATGAACCAACCTTCTTTTTAACTTTGCAGAAAATCTAATAAACATTTTGGGGTGTTGTGTTGTGTTGAAGCAATAAATAATTTAAAAACATGGCTGAGCTAAAAAGCAGTAAACAACCAACTTGAAGATGTTTGTGTGTTGTTGTGGATCAAGAGTGGTTTCCACAGACCTTAACTCCGGGGTGTCCTGGGGCTCCCATGGGGCCCTGTGAACATAAACACACACACACATACACACACACTCTTAACAACATATCTTGTTAACACCGCTCGCCCTCTACTACTGAAGATCCAATAAAGCATGGTGTTGGACACCTTTGCTTCTATTGATTCGCTGTCTCTTACAATCCTCTATTACAGAAATGAAAGAATACAATCAAAACCTAATCTGTGAGCACGGAGCGATCAGTGGGGAGCACGTGTGATGAAGGCAGAGTGAACTACAGCAGCACCGTAATGACCAGAGGCTTCATCTCAGAGTGACTTTAATGAACGCTGAGCCTGACATTAAAAAAAAAAAAAGAACAACAGACTGAAGGTCTTAATTCTGAAATTTCTATTAGTCATTATGTGGAGTTTGAGCTGAGCAATAAATGCGGGGTTCACAGACCAATCGATAGTGCGGTGCACTCACAGGAGGGCCGAGGACACTCTCTCCGGGCTCGCCTTTTTCACCTTGGTCTCCTGGCAGGCCTGGTACTCCTCTCTCACCCTTACAACAGAGACACAGAGCTAATCAGTGGGGTTCTAGTGATAGTGAATCCAGGAGTCGTAGGAAACGGCTGCTGTGCACCATCATTAGGTTTTTACACTCTGTTGGACAGTATTTTTACTCCCTTCTTGAAACCTGTCTGAGGTTCCTGACATTAAAGCACATCCTGCCCATTGGTTACACTGAAACACCACCAATGAACGGAGCCTGTGCACTGTTTTTTATGTTTTTTGTTATCCAAATTAAGCTTAAATGGTAGAAGATATACTAAAGCCTCAACAGGTAAATGTTCAAAAAAAATTAGGAAGAAGCCAAAAATGGATTAAATAAACTGTTTCCAGAAAAGTAGCTCTAAAAAAATGACAAATATTTAAACATAATTAACCAAAAGTGAGGTAAAAGAAAAACTTAAATTAAAATATACAATAAAATAGAAACTAATAACTCACTCAAATTATATAATAGTATGGAAAGTTACACATAACAAACATATTGCTGAGTTATAACATTAACAAAAACTATTTTCATATAAATAAAATATATACACTTATGCATTCATAAATATAATATATGGATACTTATAAATGAACATATATTTATTCATATATATATATTACGGATGTAAACACACACATATATAGATGAGGTTGGACGTACCTTAGGTCCACGAGACCCTCTGGTTAAAGGCATCCCATCACCCTGGCAACAAGAGGGAAGAAAAACAGAGATATTAACTTCCATAAATGAAATTCACACACAAACGTTTGTTAAACATCAAATAAAGTTTAACAAATTTCACTAATTAAGAAACTGACATTACACTATTACTGAACAGTTACATTTACAGAGGGACAGTTTGTGTGTGTTATAGGTTGTAAACGTCTTCAAACAGCTGAGTTATGAGATTGGATTCACAAAGATTTGAAGAAAGTCAATATTCTAGAGGTCAGGTGGTAGAAAGTTCCAGAGCTGAAGAGCGGGACAGCTGAGAGTCTGGCTCCCTGAGGTGACGAGGTGGCATTTGGCGATAAAGGGCTGCAAATACTACAAAACCACTGAAACTAGTGGAACATCCTTGTTCTCACTTGACACCTGTGTCTGATTTGGTCCCCGGGCCCTATCTTTGAAAACAGTGGTCATGTGCTCTTTTCAATACAGTCTGTTTACAGAGGGAAACTGATGATGCCAGACCACAGAGAAAAACTTTGATTCAAATTGGTGTAACTGTGAGGATAATTTACTGCAGCGTCCAGATGAGACATTGATTTCTGTTGTCGTCTCGTCTCACTGTTACACTGTTACACGTCCTACACTGCACAATGTAAATTAGCTGCAGTGTGTGTTGGGATTTAGGCTGACTCAGCAATTCTATGGAGGGAAATGTGGCGATTTATAAAAAGGTATGGAAAACAGAACTTACGGAGGACAGATAATATGATGTTATATCTGCTCTCTGTTTTGTTTACATAAACCATTTGACTATACATTATGTCCTGGCAGTGTACCGGGAACTGTAATGGAATCCCAGTATTTGTGCACTGAGAGGTCTATGCAAATAAAGACAGTGTGGGAAACAAAGAGTGAATTCCTCATTATTCATCCAAAGGTGAAATCAATGGAATGACATTAACTAATTGACCAGGCTGACTCATTAAAAAATGTTCAGTCTATCAGCATTGAGTTCTTGTTAAAGGAACGCCCCCGCCCCATACTTTTACAGCCAAAAGAATAAAAATCAACTCAACTGCAAAGTTTGCAGACAAACAAAGTCCATTCAGGTTTTCTACATCTATGTTTTTCTTTCTACTCTCTGTCTTTTATATGGAGCCATGACCAACCAAGATTATCTTGGTTGGTCATTATTGAGATGAGCAGGACATCAGGAAGTAGGGCTGACCAGCTGTAAACATGTTGCCTTGACACTTAAACACTGTTGCGTCGTGTTCCATCACGATGAAGTACAATAAAGAGAGCCTTAAAGACATTCACCTATACAATCATTTCCTCCCCACTCAGCTCGGCTAAACAAAGTGCTTCTCTCTTCATAAGTAGGTCTGAACAGGCTTTACGTTCACTTCAGTGATCCCATAAACATACAAACATGATTGTCTGAAACGCTTGTCATGACGAAGAAGTGAAGGCAGCACAGAGCAGTTGCGCGTGTCTCTGTGATGACCATGTTTATATGCAAAGCCATGTCCATAAAAGAGAGTGCTTCAACTGCTGTAAGCTTCAAAATGGAAAGACGTGCGATAATCCACAATGGAGTTATCCACGATGGATTTACTCTAGGACATTACATCTCCATTAGGAGGAGTAGGCAGCCTCCACAGCTGGAGGAAAACGGACGAGATTCTACAGCAGCAACTACTTCTGCAGATAACGTTCTGCTGTTTGCAGTTGATCTATGCCTCGTCAGCTTCTTCTGAATGTCCTTTTGTTGTTTTCCTGTTTCAACTTTTTCATTCTTTGACTTAAGGGGCTGCAGCCAACACGCTTGGATGAAAGTGAGTGTCAGGTTTTGATGGAGTACTCACCATATATCCGCCCCCCGGCTCTCCAGGCTCACCCTTTGGACCTGGAGGTCCGTGAGGCCCCATCACTCCACCAGAGTCACCCTGAAGACGGAAAGACAATGTGTTCAGAGTTTCCTGGGTTGCTAAACTTTGGAACTTCTTACCTTCTAATATACAAACAGCCGCGTCAGTTGGAAAATTTGTCTAAATAATTCAAAGACAGCAGTGTCAGTATTTGGCCTTGTATCAGACAAAAACAACAAGGTTGCAACCTTAATGGTTTAAGTTAAAAGCTATTTTGATAGCCACATAGCTGGAACTTTGCCTATCCATGAGTCTCAGGCTACGTCATATTCAATGACATCATGTGACCAATCAGCAGTTGCCGTGAAATCAGTTTAGCAGGTTTGCTAAAATCAATTAAAACTACCCATATGTTAATTAAGTTTCGCCAGGACAAACGAAAATCAATGATAAAGATCCAAAGATAATAATTATTTTATCATTTTAATCTTCTTCAATGCTCTCAGAAAGGTTAACACCTCTGGTTCGGTGCCAGCTCTCCTGACCTTGGACATGCCTTCTCCAGTGGCATCAGGACATTTTCAATTTCAATCTTCCCAAGACTGAAGTTTGTGGTCAAATGCCTCCGGAGATAATGAAAACCCCAACCAATCTGACTTGTAGTTTTTTTATAGTTCCATCAGTGCAGGTTCTTGGCACAGCTTCAGCATGTCTTCAGTGAGAGGACTCATGCTCTTATAATCATAACGTAATATATTTAAGTACAATGTTTCATTTCACAGTGTTTTATATGATTCTTTTCTGTGTTCCCAGAGGTGCCACACATATGTATCAGCAGAGCCCCCTTTAGCTTTAGAGTCGTCTGAAGACAAGGCAGGATAATCAGTGTGAATGAAGAGGGAGGCGTTAACACCGCCTATTTATTTTGCTGCCCTGGAGTGAAGTGTGACTCCAGTGGGTGGGATGAGCAGTTCAATGTGACAAGTGATAAACACAATTGAAAAGTTGTGTCAGCTGTGCCATCTTCAGTTCCAACCACATTTAGAAACAATTTGAATATTGAAAAACTCCAAATGTGTATTTGAAGAGAGCAGTAGTTACAAGCATCAGCTGGAAAAGTGCAGATATAACATGATAGAAGATGGCACTCAGGGCAAGTAATCTGCGATATGTCTTCACCCCTTGTCTCCCATGTTCTCCCCGTGATAAAACATCACAGCCTGCTGTTTTTTTTTTCCTGTAAGGTGAGAACTTGATTTGAGGTTTACCTACCTTTTCTCCTTTCAGGCCGTCTCTCCCAGGCACCCCTGGCTCCCCCGGCGAGCCCTGTAAATAGTGGCGAAAAGAGACACATCTATCACCGGGCCTTCATCTCCGTGCACATTTATCTCCTCCTCCTCACTGCTTCAGTGGGCTGCCATGTTCCAACATAATTTCCCTTAGCCAGGATTTATGAAATGCCTCTTTTCCCTCCCTGCTTTTGAATAAAGACAGATGCTCATTACTGAAGCAGGTGTGGGGAACAGATTGGGCCACTGCCTCCATCCCTGGCAGGAAGCACTTAGATTTGCCTCTTTCCACTAATTAATTCTTAAATTCGATTACTGATCATCTGTAAAAAAAAATAAAATAAATATATAAATAATAAAAAAATCCACTCTGGTAACTTCTTTTCCGACAATCACAACAACAGTTTGTGGTTTTTCCAGTTGTCTGTCTTCCATTCTGGCAGGGTAAGTCGGAGGGTAAAGGAGATGATGGCAGGCTGAAAGATGAGACAATGAGTGGAGAAGATGCTTGAAGTGAAGTGTTGATGTCTAGTGCCACCACACTCACTGGCTCTCCTGGGAGTCCTGGGAGTCCGATGGGTCCAGACAGGCCTTGTTTCCCCTGGAAGAAGACAGCAATAATTTCAGCCTGATGCAGTGATAGAAATGTTTTTTTATAAAACATTGGATGTTTACTGTTTCAAACAGAGCAGTGATGCTGGAAGTGATGTCACAACGAAAAAATCATTGGTTACAATGAAATATCAAATAATTTAATATAGTTGTATTGCAGTTCATGATTCATTACTGCCCCTGTAGACCAACAAAAATTAATAAAATTGAACTACAACAACAACTGAACAAAAAACAGTCTCTGAATTCACCCTTACTGTTGTTACAGTAGAATATATATATATATATATAACTTAATATTAGATTGTATATTTAACACAGCCACCTGAAGAGAAATAAGCAGAACTAAACCAATAGCAAGTTTCCATTCTTTCCTGTAAACAAAGTCTTCTTCATACAAAGTAGAACTGGTTTCATATTTACATTTGACATATAAAGAAAAACATGAACAAGCTGTACACATTCCTATCATTTCATTATCAATCCTGCTCCAACATATCAGCAGAATAAAACCAGACCACACATTTAAATCCCTTAAACTTTTTTTTTTCTAAAAAGTGATATTTGTTTTTTGTTTTTTTTTTTAAATTAAACATTACGTTTTTTTTTTTTTTTTTAATTAAACATTACTTTTGACCATAGGATTAGACATCGAGACGAGGGCTAAGACCAGGCACAGTGGAGATGGACCATTGTTATTATTTAGCTTTTATTTACTGCAGAGCCAAAATAAGGTGAATACAAACGCTCACCTCTGGGCCTTGATCTCCCTTCAGGCCTGGAAGACCTGGGTTTCCCTGTACAACAGAAAAAAACCCACATTAAGATAAAGAAGAGACGTTCAAACAGACGTTCAAACAGATGGAAATCAATTCTTTATAATGTGACTATTCTACAAAAGATTTCTTCAACAATGCTAAAGAATGATTTCTGCCACACAGCGAGGTCACTGTGTAAATGTACAAGTCCTATCAATGTCAAGTGCTGATCCAAGAGCGATGTTTTCAACCGGTTACCTTAAATCCTTGCATTCCTTGTTGTCCTCGCTCGCCCTGCACGACAGTGAAGGAGAAGAATATTCTTATTTAGCGTGAGTGCCAAGAACACAGTCGGTCACTAACGCCTGTCATCAAATCTTATCCTGAATCGTCTCAATAAAACATTTTGTGAAGTTAGTTCACACATACTATACCAGAAGTAGTTACTGTACCTGATCTCCCTTTTCTCCTTTTTGGGTTTCCTTTAGATCGTCCTTAAAAACAAGAAGAAGGAAAATGTGAGGAAAAAGGTGCAAACTCCTCAGTGGAGTCTGTATTCTGCCCAGAAACAGATGCTTACAGTTCCAGAGAGTTGTCTCAAGCCGTGGGCTGTCATCACCTAGAAAATAACGAGGACAGTGTTCTCTAAGAAATTCATATTTTTACACATACTTAAATACTCTATTCTATAATACAGCTTCATGAATTCAACTGAAAATATACCTAGAGTTTAAATAAACTTCTAACTTTTGGTTGTGAAAAAACAAGAGTCCTTCTGACAACGAGTTCAGTTCTTCTACCTTTTGTTCACAGTCCTCGGCTATTTTCAATCTACTTATTTCCTGATAAGACTGTGAAAAGGAAGACAAACTGGAGTGCGTGCTCATTTTTGACACTTTAAAGGTAACATCTGAGTTTGTTACCAGTGGTAACCAGACAAACAAAGGAACTGTTTGGTTGGTCTGCTGCTCCTAGAAAACTAACTAATTGGTCTGACAGTGGTTGAAAACAGAACGGACCAATGTGGAGTGAGCTCTGGGTCCACTGTAACCTAGTAACTCGTTCCTTTGTGTGTGACACATTAGGAGTGGACACAGAGGACAGACTTGTCATTAATTACACTTCACTCCAATTGAGAACATTTTCATAAACACAAATTTTTGAAAACTAATTTACAGTTCAGTTTGGTTATATACCTGGACCTTTATTTACCAGGCAAAAAGGGTCCTTATGAAATTCTGAAGTTTGAAATCAGGTCACAGATCATGTCAGTCCATCGTCAGCTCCAGCCCACAGAGGTGACTTTCACTGCACAATTTTGCTGTGGTTAATGGCTGCTTATAATTAGAGGCTTCCTGTTCATGCTGTGGTTTTTAATGTAGTAAAATACAAAATTCTGACTCTGACAAAGTGAAAAAGCCTTTCCTCAAGTTTACTTGGCCAATTTGTTTATTAAAAACATCATAACTATGACCTCAGGGTCTGTAAAACCTGGAATTGTTGAACGACATCAATATATATATAAAAAAAAATCACTTCATGTGACCTAATATCAACTTTCACTGGGAATTTTTCCTGTGATCAGAAAAACATCCTGCAGAGCCGTGTGCCACACATATACCAGATGATAACTCTGTATTGTGGAGCAGTTCTGGTCGCTGTGAAAGCAGAACAGTCTGTGGGACAAAAATGACCATTTTGTCATTTTAAGGGCGGTCGGTCCGAGGATGACGGCCGAAGCCCACTGCTCCTTCTTGATGCTAATAAACAGAAGCGCAGGAGGGTTTATGAAGGGAGGGTAATGATCTGAGCCTTTGCTTCTGCTGTGTAAGGGAAATCGATGGTTAACTGCCAAAATTATCTGCCACAGGAAAGCAGAGATCAGAGACAGAGGCTGACACTAAATATTCAAACAGCCTCATTTATCAAATGACTGATGTTCCCCCCTCTGCTCTCTGCTGTAATGTACATCTCCTGTGTGCGGCTCGGGCCACACCTCACTGCACAACGATGAACACAACAATGAAAGCGACTGTCGCAGGTTTGATGTGCCATTCCTCTCTACCCTCCTGTTCCTGCAGCTGCGATACAATTAAAGGAACAAAGGACCATTTTACAAGGATTCCAAGGTTCGGTGTTTACAAGCCACCGTGACAGATGCACAGGTTACACCTACGCCAATTAGGTGTCTGGACTTTTTAGGGCAGAGACAGAAACAAGTAAAATTAGTGAAGAGTGTTTGACATTTGGTCGCAGCATAAATTAGCTGTCTAATTTCCATTTGAATGGCTTGACAACAAACAACAAGAATTAGAATAAAAACGAAAGCTTTGAAGCACTTGAACAGAAACCGTTAGATTTAAGTGACGTGTGTTTTAAATCGTTCCTGTTGACAATTGATCTTAAACTAAATTTGTTATTGGATTTTGCACTTGGACCATTATAGGTTAGAGAATAAGGACAGAGAAAATATCTGCAGTTGGACTGTTGGGCAGCTGAAATCCTTCATATGGCAAAAATACAAAGTTTTTATTTCCTTATTTTAAAAAAATAATATTGAAAGAAAAAAGAATGATGGCAGACAATACTAGGAAAATACATCAGTATTCAACAAATGTTCTACTCAAACTAATTTTACAAGTAGCAAAATTATTACAGGTTACATTCTGCCCCGGCCGCAGCATTAATTTTATACATTGTGTCCTGTGTAAGCTATTTTGTTAATGTTCCTCTGCTGTGTATACATTACTGTAAAAATACTCACTGGGAGCTGGCCAAGTATTAGCAAGTCCATTACTTAAAAAGTGAATAAATATATAAATAAAAAAGAGGAAGCTTCAACTCCACGCAAAACTTTTCCTAAACTAATCTCATCTTCCTGCAGAGGGCAGCTCAAGTTTGAAACCCTTTATCAGCACTGAATCAATGCATGTGTAAAAAAAAAAAAATTAACAAAATGTCTTTACCTTAAAGGAACCATCTGTGGCTTAAAATATTTGACCACAGAGTGTAAAAAGACTTTAACTGCACCAAAGTGGACATTTTTCAGTGTAAATGTTAATGATTTTGACCTCTGTGTTGTACTCACAGGACCTGGTGGACCAGGAGGGCCGGCATCACCCTGCAAACACAATAAAACACATATTATCTATTCAGTTAGAAATAAAAAATGAATAAAAAAACCTTTAAAAGGAAAACAGTCTCACAAGATGTCAGCTTTTTTCACGTTTCTGGCTGCTTCTTTGTTTCCACACGTGTGACTCTTTAACATGGAGGTACACCGAGCTCTTCAGAGACTACAGTACAGAGAGCTCTCCTCTGTGATGCGCTGCTTGAGTCTGTATTCTACGTATTCATAATTGATGAGCAACAACTTAGAATAGTTCAAAACAACACAACAATACACTGGCGGAGGTATTTTAAAGTGCCGTAAACAAGTTCCTAAGAACATGCTCTGCCCTTTACCATGAAAACACACTGCTTTGACATTGCACCGGGGTCATGAGGTCAACTGGACCTAGATCAAAGGTCAAGAAGAAACATGAACTTTCTTTTTTTAATGTCATACTAGATAATACAAATTAAAAATATACTAAACAATAAATGTGATTCACTGTCACGATGACTGCTCAATGCTAGCAATGTTAGCTGCTTGCGTTGATGTAGATAAGTTCAACAGTAGATCACAGAGTAGATCACACATTGTCTTTATTTATTTACCGATCAACTCTATAAAAGCCAAATTCTAGGTAACACCTTTGCATATTCTTCCTGACATTTTCAATATTAATAATTCTATAGTTGAATCATATTGATTAATCGTGACTAATCATGATTAATCAACATCTAACCTGCGAGTAATCAAATTAAACATTTTAACCGTTTAACAGCCTGCGAGTAATCAAATTAAACATTTTAACAGTTTGGCTTTTCTTTGCTATACCAAGTCCACTGTGGTTCTGTTGAATATGTGGAGGAGACCTCCATTTGTTACAGTGCCCCACCATTAGATGTGACTGATTCGCTCATACTGGACCATTAACCACAGAAAAATGAAAACCCAGTCGTTTTCTTTTGGACTACTGTCGACACAAACCGGTGAGACACGGTGTCAGCCAATCCTGGAAACACAAGGATTTAATTGAACAAACTGCACAACTCATCACCAACCACCAAGAAGTCATTCATGTCGTTTTGTTTTTGTTTATTTTTCTGACTGCCTTTCTCTCTGTGAGGCCTACTGTCGAGGTTGATTCCAGTTTCTATAAATAGTTCATCATTTGGTCATGTGGTTTTATGAGACATAAATCAAAATCATGCCCCAGTGTCAGTCACTCCATGGCTCTGGTTTGATGGATTGCTATGAAAGTTTTTACAGACATCCAAGGTTCCTACAGGACAACATCCACCAACGTTGATGATGCAGTGACATAGTTTTTGTCTAAATACTTCGTACGTTACTGAAATGACGGTTTGAGCGTGACATCTGAAGGTCTTTAGACCTGACACTGTGGATCAGAGATGGTGACGAGCACATGACACGATCAGTTGTTTGGTATTTTCTGTACGCAGGAGGAGTCCTTATGTGAACTGTCATATTATGTTAAATATGCCTTTATGTTCTCGAGCCATTACATGTGCCAGTGCACAAAGACATAACCTTTCATGTTAAAAATTCATGGAACTCTTTTTACATGAGGAAGCCATATGAACAAAGGCCAAGTGGAAAACACAGAAGAAGAAACAACCTGCTTACGTACAGCTTGGCAATTTAAAAATACCTTTTTAAAAATAACTCAAGAATTGGGTACTGATAATAATAACTCATGACTATGAAAAATATAATTTATAGTAATAAAGATAAGTATAGTATTAAGTAGTAATTTTGCTTTTCCTACAGGTGGTGCTATAAGGTTCCCTCCCTATGTATTTCTCAGGTGTGTAGCCTTGAGGTAGAGTGAGCCATCTTACCAAGTATTGAATACTACAACGTTTAACTTTGATATGTTTTATGTGGTGCCTCTTAAGAATAACTAAAGTACTTAAAACATCATATACTGCAATACTGCCACTATAAAATGGTCAACTATATTCTGGGCTCTTGGTGAATTTTATAATTGGGTGTAAAATAATTTAAAATCATTTTTGTAGTATAGTATTGCAGATCCCAGAGCTAACTGACAGCGCCAAACTCTTCTTCAGTAATCGGTTTAAGGAGTAAACAAACAGGTCAGTTGGGTCAGTAATATCTACAGATTGATTTACCCACCCAATCTCTGAATCTTGAGTTTAAAACTAGCCATGCTGAGATTTGGACCAAATGGCTGTTTGGTATATATATAAATAAATTCTTCCCCTCTGTTTCAATTTCTTGTCACACGCTTTGAGAGCACAAACAAAAGGCAACATGACGCACAAAAACAAACATGAATGTGACTTACTTTCTGGCCCTTCATCCCACTCTCACCCTCTGCACCTGGCTGACCCTGTAAAGGGAGGAGGAGGAGATTTGAGTAAATGACTCCCTCAAACCACAGCACTGTAAATGTCATTGCAGGGGAGAATACGTACAGCTTCTCCTTTTTCTCCCGGCTCTCCTGAATCCCCCTTCTCCCCCTGTGTGGGACCAGAGCAGGTAACTGACAATGACTGACAGTGAAAGGCTGACAGCCCAGACAATGAAACAAAAGTAATCAGGTAAAGACGTTCATTAGTGTGTCGTTTTGGAATCAAAGGTAGTTGTAATTATGGTAGTAAAAAAAAAAAAAGAAACGTTGAGAGCAGGAACCTGGCAGTGGTTTTGTGTGAATGTGGTGTTAAGTGAGGATAATGAAATTCCCTGCCCCTGTTGCATTGCAGCACTTTCACGTTTCCATGGTAAAATTATCCCTCTGTCTGCCAATAGATGGCACTTTATGACTGCAGCTCAGTTCAACTCCCTTGGATGAAAAACAAAAAAAACAAAAAAAAAACCTTCCTGTCAGTTATATGAAGAATACTCTGAGTAAACATTACTGTAAAACAAATGCACCAGCGTGGTGGACAGGACACATAGATGATGAATAATTAAACAGATTGTAATTTGATTTTTTTAATGCACATGCTGCATATTCTGGGGAACGTCTTGTACCATTTTTTTACCCGAGAACTGAAGATTCATCACACTGGTTCCTCTGAATGATCTTTTATGCTCATTTTGCTGCACTTGTGATGTCAGTTTTGGGGCATAAATACTGTATACTTGTCTCTAATTAAGTTAGATGGTGGTGGCTTTAAAATTGGAGAAACCAAAAGCTTTTTTTCATCTCTTCATAAAAAAATATCCCCTGCTTTTCCTGCAGGGTATTAGAAGGATTTTATACTCTGTTGGTACACGAAGCATCAACTCGAGTTCTAAGAAGATAGAGACCTTTTGGAAAGACATATTTACACACTCCAAAAGACAACAATTAGCATTCAATGACAGACGTTTTGATGGAATTTTTTTAATGAGCTATGTTCACTATTTTCTTGTCAAAATGTTAAGCTGTTATTAAGTCAGGAGACTGCTGGATCTATGAAGGGAGTGATTGTCCAATTAATAATTCAGGCGTGGAGGAGGGAGCAGTGGCAAAAGTGACTTTGAGTGCTAATTGAATTCTTTACAGCCTTATCTACTACAGGAACTCAGAACTGCAGCGGGAATCAATTTGATAATAGCCATGCTGTTATTCAGTAATTGGCTTTTTTCTCCTGACAAAGAGGCCCTTTTTAATACTGTACGACAGGAAAAACTGCAAGCTGCACTGTACACAAAAAGTGCTTCGCTATCGTCGAGGCAGGTTGCAAAGTTATGGCAGTTTAAATCAGCTCTGATGGAAGGTTAATATTGGCCCACATTGTCATTTATAAGAATCCTGTGCAATGAATTCTCCCGGTGACTGCTGAAATGATTTCGATCGTTATCCTGGTGAAAATCCACCGAAGATCATTCAAAGTCAATTTATCGGGAGAGGGGTGTGTAACGAGTTAATAAACCTTTCAAATGAGATGAACTGCACGACAGCCAATATTTGTCTACATTACCACTGTATTTACACACTGGAGGAGCAGGGCATGTGTGATGTCAAACCGTGGTCCACCTGTGGATGTCAGTGGGTGAAATGTTGACTCTGAGACGATTCAAATCACCAAACTACAGTAAAGGCTGTCTCTGCCCCCCCCCCCCCCCCCCCCACACATCCCTCCATCCATCAGTATCTGCAGAGTTCTGTCAGAGCCCGTCAGCAGTGGCGAGTTATGTAGATGTGATTCATGAGAAACATTATCTTCCCGTCACATCATGCGCTGCACATGGGTTTTCTTCTTTTTAAAATATGCGCTCATGATGGATGGAGTGATAGGGGCGCTGTTTAATTTGACCAGTATTTGTTTTGTCCAAGCTAAAACTGCATGCGCGAAGTCAACCAATGAGAATCGTGGAAACTCCTTATGCTGTAAGTGCTACAGGAAAAGTAACATTTTCTTTTAAAATAATGCAATATTTTTATAGAAATATTATAATACAATATGTAAATTTGTTCAATATCATGCATTATTATATACAATATTAAGTACCTGAGTGAATGACATAAATCTTAATATTTAACTGTTTGGCTTTAAAATGCATCTCTTATGGAATTATGCACGACGTTACTTTTCTTATGTATGTTTTGTTTTTTTGTACTTTGGTCTGTTAATTTTAAATATCATGCCCCTGACACAACCTCTAGGAAAAAATCTCCAAAGTAACATCAGCATGAGTCAGTTCTCAGCCGTCCCACCTGGCAGAAATATTTCTGCCAAAAAAAATATTAAATACGAAGATGTAGGTGTAACTTTGAAACTGTGAAAGTTCCATAACACCTCATCTTCTTAGAATTAAATACATTTCATTTTTAGAAACTGTGCTATATAAAGCTCCTGCTCCGTGACATCAGAAGACCGCGGGCTTCCCACAGCAGATTCAGATCATTTGGAACCGTTTTACCAACACATGATGGAGTATTCACCATTGATTTATGTAGAAACAAGAGCCTCAGGCTGGACTGCAGAACGGACACAGCCACATACACTCATGTCTGCCTTCGGATCAAATCACAGTATCTTGACACTGCATCAAAAAGTGTTCACTGTGACTGTATAATGCAAGAAGGAAGTCAGTAATACATTTTGCACAGACTTCCAGTGCAGTTCTCTGGGGTTGAGCTCTTTCAAGATTGAGAAAAAGACAATGACAACGGTCAGAGGGTTATAACGTTTTTGGATGTTCAAGGGAAAAGAAAAAGACACTGGTTTGGATGAGAAACAGCAGTGGCACGTGGCTCCCATGGGGGGCACCAGAGCATTTCTGGGGAGCTGGGAAACGATCAAACAGAAAGGCAAATAGGGGACAGATTCTCCACTACATAGAAAGCAAAATATAGTTTATCAGATGGAAATGGAGGAAGTTGAATTTTCATAGAAATATATAATGTATTTTTTCTGTTTTTTAAAAGCAAAATATAGTTTATCAGATGGAAATATATAATGTATTTTTTCTATGTTTTTTTAAAAAAAACTAAAATATTACTTATATATTACTTACATGGCAAATTGTGGCTAACGCTCTTATTAGCACTGGCTGGTATGTGAGTGATGATGATGACGAAGCCTAAGAGGGAATTTTAGGAAGATTTTTTCAACTATTTAGAATTCTGCTCAAATTACTGGCCTGCCCTCAGTCCAGATCTGTCTCCTATTGTACATAGCCAGGACATCATGAAGAGGTTGATCAGCCAGTTGGCACCACCACACTGCAACTTCCATTTGTATTCCCACTGCTTCCAGAACTTCACCCGCGTTTCTCATCAATCTAAATCTTCACTCACTGCTGTGGCTCGCTTCTTAACCCCGGCTCACGCCTGTCCGTGAAAACTGCAGTACAAAGTACGTGGTTGATAATTCCAACCCAATCTGGAGAGGTGGTGACCTGTGAGGGGCTGCTCGTCCTCAGGCTTTCAACCACAGCCGCTGTGTCCACTCTGGCTCAACATTAAACCAATCCTCACACAGTGAACCACCCACACAGGCCCGGCTGCACTTTGTCCAAGTGTTGTCCATTACCATTTCATTTTCTTTTAAAAAGCTTTTGGATCATTTAATGGTATCTTGGCAGGGGTCTGTGAATTATGCCCTGAAAATTGACTAATTCCTGGTGATTTTTATTTCACTAGCACTCTGATTTTTGTGAGTTGAATGGATGACCTGCTGCTTTTGGGAAGTATTTTTAAGTTAAAGTGTGAGCCATTGTTTTGTTGACCTTTGCCTTACAAATAATTTGACACTATTGTAAATCAGTTTAGTCCACTGTTCTCTCACAGTGTAAGCTGTTTAATAGCCAAATTCAATGATTTATTTGTATTTTGTAAATTTGTAATAATGTAATGTCATGTGATGGCATCTAATGTAATAATAAGAAGCTATTATTAAGTTGAGATTTTAAATGTTATGTTGTAGCCCTGTGGGAGACACTGGAGAAGCCCAGGGTCATCGGTCACTGGGTGACCCTAACAATGGATTCAATGGTAAAAGGTGAATGAATCACATTTGATATCTGAGAATTAGAGGCAAAGATATTCTATTGTTGTGTTTAAGACACTTGTTTTTGCAAAACAATTTAGAGGAAAATTCTTATGCTCACTGCACCTTCTTTAGTTTAATGTAAACGTGACGTTTTGAGAGTTTAGATTTTATGATGTGATAAATGTGGACGTTTCAAATGAACTGTTGCAGCTGAACCTTAAAAGGGAAATTACAGAAAATTCATAAAAACCTAATAAAGGTAACCTCTGTTTCATCCTCCAACTTGACACCATAGGACGCTGTAATAATACGCCATCATTTTTCATCTGCACAAATTCCACTTTCATTTGTTTTTGAAATGAGCGTGTCCTCGTGCGGACAACTTTCCCTTTCAAGGTTGGTCGGTTGACAGTTCTCCTTCCTTTGGACACGGAGAGCAGGAGAGAATCTGCGGTCCGCTGACCGGACCTGCAAATGACTCAGCTCTACGTCAAACCAACAGCTGCGGTCAATAGGTCGTCCACTGCACAATAGTCCTCACTTACAGCGTGATCTCCCGGGAGGGGTCACAGGAGGCTTGGTAGGTGGCTGAGTTTGATTTTTTTTTTTTTAAAGGATCAGGTAGAAGAAGAGACAGTGGGAGGTCTCATGTCTGAGGGAGGATTTTATTTTTTTTAACGCGTGACTCTGGTGAGCTACAGCACCCCTGGGCTTTCATCAAAACGGTGCGAGTCACTGTATGTAACGGCCATCTGTCTGTTCACAGAAGGAGAGTCGAGTCACACTGAGCTGCTCCACAGGAGACGCCTGATGGGAACAGCTACTTAACTTGCTCTGATACATTTTGACTGAGAGGTGCTATTTCCAGTGCGGGGGAGCGGCTCCTGACTGGAACATAAAAATGTCAGTCAGGAATGGAACAGGTATTTAACTTTCTGTGATGGCTCAGTTTGTTCCACTGTGTTTAAGAGAACACTGATGTGCAGATTAAACTTCAGTGTATTTAGGGTTCGTCTGAGCAGGTGAAACCTGGTTTACTACAATGGTTCTGCTGTTGTGTTTCACACGGACGAGTATTATGATGCACATGAAACCAAGGTTCACATAAAATTCATGGAGTCAGGCATTATATATATATATATATATATATGTGATATTTTATAGACACTTTTACACTGCAGTTGCTTCTACATAATCCTTAATTTATCTTTTTACTTTTGTACTTTTTGTGACTGTTATTTTGCATTTGTTCTTTAAAGGACGGGTTTTTTTTTTCACTTTTTTGTCCCTATGTAGATATTAGTTCAATTGAATCCAACAAAATAATTGATAGAATAATCAATTAGAAAATAATCAATAGCTCTTCTTCCACTCTAATTGTCAGCCCATACTCTTAGGAGACGATTAAACACATACCTTCACACCTCCACCTTCTGTGTTTCCTGCTAGGCCCTGCAAAAAAACAAAAAAAAACAAAAACTTGTTTTCAATTCAAGAAATTAAAAGTAATTTCCATGTGACAAAATTATACAATATACTGTTCATGAATGCATATGAAACATGTAGAAGATGCCCACACAGGTCCAATAAAAAGAATACATTTCAGCTCATTCCTAACTCCAGGGTCACCAAAGCAGTAGTCTGCGCAGTGACCCACCCCAGGATGTGGAGAGTAGATGGAATCAAACCTGCAAACTACAACTGTGCCGCGCTAGCCTTTTTATTCAGCATCCCTGCTTCCCTCTTTTCCTGTCGCCCTCTCTCCCCCACAGGCATATGCTCTCAAAGAAACAGCTTATATTTCTGCCTCTCGTTTCCATATCAGTCATTCAGTTTTTAAAAGTTCCTCAGTGTAAGATTTTGGCACTGAAATCACATCCAAACTAGGAAAGTAACACAAACACTGAGTGAGTGAGTGAGTGAGTGAGTGAGTGAGTGAGTGAGTGAGTGAGTGAGAGAGAGAGAGAGAGTAAGGCGTATGCTATTACTCTTAAGTAGAAATCACCTCTAAACTGGAGCTGACAACACAATTCAGAAAACCAGGCCTAACACAAACATCATCAGACAACGTTTCTGTTATTTTTTTGTACGCAGTCAGAACGAATGCCTGTTCATGCGACAGGGTTCATATGAGCTGCACTCAGTGATGTGACACAATACAACAGCTTTGACGCCCACCTCTTTTCCTCCAATTACAGAGACATGCAGAGTAAATGACTAGTGGTGTACACGGAGATATACATGATGACATCAGTAACATCTATAAAACCATACACTGACAGTCACTGGCACTTTTTTCTGTGCTCCACTGTGGGAAAATGATGCATTCTGCAAATTGAGGAAACATTTTTACAACCAAAAACGTCCTGATAAGGAAACCACTGCCACTAATAATTATCTGCTCTATGGTAAAACCCAATACACTGTATGTATCTATGATTGTATGTACGTACTGTATCTATCTCTCTCTATATATATATATATTTGTGTACACATTAACTTAAAAATCCCATTGTTCCCCATAAAGTCCTCATTTGTGTCGTCCAACCTTGACATTAATTATGCAGAGCTGTGTCCTTCCACCTGAAGACTGTGGCTTGTCTCTGAGTGTGAATTCATTGTGTGCTCTCACAGACTCCCACGTTGCCCAGCGGTGCTAATTTGACTCAGAGAAATCATCGCAGACCCCTTAAGTGTGTGTCCTGCTGCCACCGGGCAACAGAAAGTGATGCTCTTGTGCCTTTTGAATGGACGATGGTGCCTGTGAGATCTACCTCAGCAAAACAGGTGAGTCATAAATGCCAATGCAACACTGTGACTGTCATCAGGACACTGCCATTTAGAAATGTCACGCCTTCTGTCGCATCCTGCCTTTTCTTTACCTGCACAGTGGAGTGCTGTAATTTTCTGAGTGATTCTTAGGTTTGACAGGCAGTATTTTGGTTTTATTAGATAGTACTTACGTGATAAATATTTGAGAAAATATTCAACCGTTTTCCTAGGAGTGTCTCAATACTGATACTAATATCAGTTTTGGGTTAAACATGTCATTCAAATACGCTAATTAAAATGCTAAATAATGCAGTTCAGCGATTTTATCAAATACCTGAACGGACCACAAATAAATGAAGTATTTACATCTCACCAAGTCACACCAACATTTTGTGTTAATTTGTCAAACATGGCATTAGTGATTACTGGAAACTGTAGTCAGAAAGTCCAGAAAGTTTCATCTCATATAATAACAATAATATAATTTGAACTTTTTTGAGTTCACATGAGTTCACATGAGGAAATTTGTTAACAGCAGATTTGCTGCAACAAGCTGCCAAGTATGTAGTTTTTCTGGAGCTACCCAAAATGTTATGATCAGGCCAAGAATCAAACCCAGGTCAACTGTTTGGAAGGCAGCTATGGCAACCACTAAATCACCAACGCATCTTTGTTTAGTACTTACTATCGGCAGGCACAAAAAAAATACTTGAACTTGTACTTGTAAAGAAACGTATCGAGACAAAACAGTTATATAATATAAATGCATTTTTTCAAGCTTCTATATGAACTGAAGTAAACTCCAGCGTATGTCCCCATCAGGAGTGTCATCAAGGTAATAGTGCATGAAAATAATTGGACTCGTACTGCTACTGAATGCACATAAACACTGTTGTTTGTGTTGACATCAGAGCAGTTTGAAAACAAGCGATCTCTGTTGAAAACACTGGGTTTTTTTTTTGCTCTTTAGTGTTCAGGTCACTACACAAATACACAAACAGCAGCGGAACGTGTTACAATGCCTGAGGAAACACCATAATTCAGATAGTCAACAGACCTCGGAGGCAGACTCTCCTACACACATATTCTGATGTGCTTACATAAGATAATCCCTGTAGTTTTCTAAAACTAACAACACTGCTCGCAGCTAGCTCACTCAAGGAGGAGATTTAAACCAGATCAATACAATTTTACGCATGGAAATAATGCACACATTTTACTAGAGTACGAGACGGATTTCACCTTGAAGAGTGAAATGGTTTCTGAAGATCAATTTTATTGCCTTGACAAATTATTAACCTCCAAGAGTTTCACTGTAACAATAAATCTCCAACATTTAATTAAATGAAAATGTGGGCCATGGGTCATATATATATATATTTATAATAATACATTTATTTAAGTTTTCCAGAAAGTATATTTGCCATTTCTTCTGCACGAAACCCTTGACATATTTGGACTGCAGTCCAGCCAGTTAATTTATATAAGCTTTTTTTAAATTATTATTTAGTTAAACATTTATTTATTTAGTTAAACTTAACAAACTAAGAATTTATTTTTCTTTATGATGCACCTCCATACCATCACAGATTCTGGTTGAAGTGACAGAATATTGCCCTGAAACGTCTGTTTTTATCTAGATAATATAAAGTTTAACCAAGGTTTTCTTAAAAAAAAAACAAGTTCAAATGTGTTCTCTTCTGACAACAAAAGACTTACTGGATCAATATTTACAATAATATCAAAAACAATAGATAGGCACAGGGCTATCTTCTTTTCTATCCTGAGCTGAGGGATAGTCTTTTTATATTATTTTACACTATCTCACAGAAAACAACAACAGTTTATCTGTTTATATCTAGGATTAAATGGAATTTCTTTTTTTCTATAAAGGTTTCAGCAGATTTACTGCATTCTGCATCTATGACTGCATACTGCAGTCATAGATGAGCATGATTGGGTCAGAGTTTGTTTGTTGTACTCACAGATGGTCCTCTGGGTCCAGGCTCTCCGGGTTTCCCTCTCCGCCCCTGTGGAATCAGAGAAAAAAGGTGTGAGATAAAGAGAGCGGCGTCGCACCAACAGGTGTTTCTGTACATACACGCTGCCAGCAATTAAGAGCAGACAGCATCTCCCGTCACAGCTTCTAATTTGCTTTTAATTAACAACAAGAAAACAGCTTAATTGCTGCACCCTGTGTGGCCCGCTAGTCTTTGTTCTTTCCCCTGGTTTACTGTCTCCTCTCCAGCTGTGCCAGTCCCTCGGTGCATCAATCAACCCGAAGAGCACGTACAGCAGAGAACGGGCCCGGCCCGGCGCCGCAAAGCAAGGTCAGGACGGAGCCACGGTTGTGCTTTGATTTCAAATACTGTGAAACACACTGCCTTAGAGCTGCCAGAGTGAAACGTGAATTTAGGAAACAGTGTAATGTGTTAATATAATGGAATCATTTCCATAAGGTCTAGGTAAAGGGTACTCACATGCACATTTTCAGGCTCATAAAGACATCGATGCAATGTGAGCATCACTTTTCAAAGGTTAATTTATAATTTAAAAACGTTGGCTCTTTGTCTGCAAAAAGGTGGCTCGTGGACCGGATGTGAACCGCAGGCTGCCCTTTGTAGACTGCTGGTCTTAGGGTCTCAGAGTAATAAGGCTCTGTGAATGCTCTTTCAGGCTATTTATGAAGTAGCAGAGCATCATCTGCACTACAGAAGTGACACACAGAGGTATAAGTACACAAATATCTACTCATTGAGAGAAGAGTAACCCTGTGGCCAATATAAATTCAAAGTACAGCAGCATAATCTTAGCAGGAAATGTGAGACACGATGGCATTAGAGGCGTAGATATGATTACGCCTTTCCAATGGGAGTTTCATCATCTGGAACACTGGATTCTATCCTCCAGTGTGTGAAAGACGCTGTTACACTCCAATGGGTTCATGGATGTGCACATTTAAGGAGATGGAGAGATCACTGGCTAAATTACTGCCACAGGATTACATTCAGAGCGTTGCCTTTTCCTCCCGTGACACTTAGCGTATGCTGATTTTGATTAACTGGGTCAAATGTGACATGTACTGTATGTCTGCCTACAGCAGAGGCTTGTTTGCAAGTATCAAGTTTATGTGCTGCGCTTCTCTGCTACAAGCCACAATGTAACTGGGAGACCAGCGTGGTGCACGAATAGATGCCAGTGATCTAACCAACCGGTTTGTGCTCGTACTCCAAGGATATTCTCCCTTTCTTCTCTTCCTGCTGTTTGATGTACAAAGGCAGCCTTGGTTGGCAGCTTTTGATCATCTGTGTTAATGTTGCTCTGAGACCAATGTGCTTAAACGTGAGCATGAGCGCGGAGTTGAGCTGCGGTGGCGCCGTGTCGTGTGGACATGTAGGACGGCGTCATTAAAAAGCAGGGAAAAATCTTTTTCCTCCCAGATGACAGTGAGTACGTTCAATTGAAAAAAAAAAAAACCTTTTTGTGGAACGTATCTCTAGCTCATTACAGTGCAGCAGGAAATGAGGAGGCTGAGTGGCAGCCAAACCATTCAATAAGCACTCACACAGCAGGGTGCCATATGTAGACTCAAAACACACCAATTTTGTGTCAAACATCCATTTGTCCTCAACAAAGACGGTGGCTGAATGGTGCCTTTTTTCCTGCCAGTGATAATGAATAGGCTGACAGATAATTATTGCTGTGTTTGCAGAAAGATCAGGTTATTTGTTCTAGCCTTCGCTTCAGCTGCTGTACTTTCAGGCCAGAACTCTAACAGTAGATTACACAGATAAGTAATTCCACTAATGAATATTTCAATTGCCATTATTTCAAACAGACTTGAATTATACACTTTTCAAAAAAAAAAAAAAAAAAATGTGCACCCTTGCTTCTTTATATCGTTTCTTATTTCAATGTGCATGCTAATTCTATACCCATGTATTTGCATAGAGGCCCCTGAATAAATGGTGTTATTGCAGATCTCGATTCTCAAAGATGAAATAAAAACAATTTAGAGAAGATCTAGGCTGGAGTCCATATTATTCCACGCTATCTAAATGTTCACTTTGCATATTCCAAAAGTTACAGGTAGAGGCTTTACGTTTATTAAATAACCAAATAAACAGAATTAAACAAGAGTCATCTGAATTCATCTGAACGAACTATTGAGTTCCCTTGGTTTCTGTTCTCTTTCATTAGTAAAGGCTAATGCCGAGTTGTAATGCTGAAGTATGGCCTCAGATCCTCAGCAAAGCCTTACTGTAGTACTATGGCATGTTATAAACCAGTGATTATCAACTCGCGGTCCGTGGGCCAAATATGGCCTCTACTGGTCAATGTAGGAGAGAAGGAACCTTCAAGATTTTTACTACCATGAACTTTTCAAATTTTCTTTTTTTTTGTCACACTAAAATGCCGTCCGTGGTGCAGCACACACAATTTTCTCCAGTTAAAGTAATAAAGAAATAGTACACCAGGTGACCGTGGGGTTAGACTGACAATTTTTGTCCAGAGCCCCCTGGCTGGCAATGCAGCCACAGTGACGTGAAATAATTAGTCTGGAGCACAGCTGTCGGCATCATTTGCACTGGGTTGACGCTCCAAAATGAGGCTCCTCTCAGTGTAACAGTGAGGTACCGCTACCTCTGAAAGAACATGATGGAACGGAACACAGAGATAATGCAATACCAGTGACTGACGCAGTGCCAACGAGCAAACAAAATCTCCAACACTTTGTATCGAATACAAATGTGCTTAACATTGTTATATACTGTATATCATTATAGGAGGGATAATAATAACAGGAATATTATTCCTGTGTTTTAATTAATTCCAAATGCCACGTCAACATTGTAGATTTTTAAAAGGTCTAATTAAAGGGCTACTCTGACATTTTAAATAAGGGTCATTTTTATAATGATCCTTCTGGGGTTACTTTTTAATAGTTTCCTGGTTGGTTGTCACAGCAGGAAATGGACTAATTGTCCACTGACACAAGTTAAAAAGTAACTTTCAGGAAAGAAATATGTGGGTCATGGTTTAAATGCCTTTTTTGGTGAGTGTAATGTAAATGGAAAGAAGGAAAAAAATATTCAAGTGTTCAAATGTAATATTAGGTGAAGGATGTAGTGGCTAACTCAGAGTAAAAACTCAGAGTTCTTTCATGTTCTACAAAAAAAAAATAAAATAAAAAAATAAAAACCAGGACAGATTGTTTTGTTCTGGATGTAAGAGTTTAACAGTTCTGACACCAGGCAACACCACGATTGGCCAAAACACCAGAGTGAAATATATCCAATCCAGACCAATCCTAACTTTCTTATACGTTCCACACTTCCCCCATCACTCCTTCAACTTCCTGTTTGTATTTCATCATAATTTGATTACTCCCCTCTGATCCTGCCGTACCTTCTCGTTTTCTCATTTCTCGCCGGCCCCCCAGTCATCTCTCCATCCATCTCCTGTCTCCTGTCACTCGCCCCATTTCCCCCTTACCCAACTTCCAGTGCTTGTTGGATCACCCCGGCAATCTCTGTTGCTATGCGACACTCAGTGTCCTATAAATTTGACAACATCCTGGTGCTTGATTATTATTTGAGCACCGCAGTGTGAAGCCCTCCTTCAGGTCATTGCAGTAGATTAAAGGCAGGGAGAGACAGAGGAAGGTAAGGAAGTGGATGAGGAATGGGAGGAAGGCGAGGGAAGGGAAATGGATGAATGGATTTGGAGGGGGGGCGGAAAGGAAGTAAAAGTGAAGATGAATTAGCCTCTTGAGCTAGAAAAAAAGTGCTGGCAGGATTCACACAGTCACATGTACTATTAAACCGTTCTTTTTTGGAAACTGTGAGAAGCACTACTTTTTATTACCTCTAATTTGAAAATCCACTGATAAAGCCTGAGAGAATAGAGCAGTGAGCGGTGGACGAGGACGCCTCACCACAAAACAAATGAATATTCCATCCTGCTTTGGCCTCAACTCTGCAGTGATTCGTGAACAATAAACAAAAGCACAGACACGGGGTCCGGGCTGGCTACCAGTGTCCATGTCTAAAACACAGCAACGGTGACAAAGAGCAGATGCACTTGTCTGTGATGACTGCAAAATCCTTACAGCCCACATGTCAACACATTCTCTGAAATAACCACGTCCCGGCATCACAGTCTGAGATAAAATGGTATAAAATGGACAAGATCAAGAAGGCGTAATATTTGTAGCCGTACAGCAGATATATATGTTTTCAAAAGGCTATGAAATCCACTTGACAAATGCCCCTGTGGGGAAGGTGTGCAGATAAGCTCGGAAAGCCTTTTCAAATGAACACCACAGGAGGGAACCTGCAGTAAGTCAAACCTGACACATGACACACACCGATGCTCACAACAGCCGTCAGTGGCTAAATCACCATTAGGTTGGGTTAAAATGTCATGTTTTTTTTCATATTGCCATGTCTGCCTCTAAACTTCCATCCCTTTCTTTTTGATCGATCCAGTGTTTACTTTGATGCAGCTGCAGCTACAGTGAAGACCATCGCAGCGAGTCTTTGTCATCGATTTTTCGAGCAAAGTTGCTTTTTTCAATCCAATCAAAGACCAGTGAGCACACGGTCACTCATTCAGAATTCTAAACAAACGTAGCCTGACGGAGGGACACGAAGACTCTGGCATCAACTGTGAAATAGATTTTTAGTAGTAATTCACCCAGACATTCTGACTCATCCTGCATTTCATCTATCTGACTCACGCATGACACAGAGCTTTGTGTCCTAAAGGGAAAGCTATATTATTGAGCCGAGTTGGTCCGCAGCAGAGTTATGAAGTCGGGGCAGAGATGACCTTTTCCTGACTGAGGAACCTCACATGCCACTCCCACTCCTTCTGCATCAGACGAGCCCGGCACGTCTAGCTCCCGGCCACAGGCGCTGCAGCCACCTGAGCTGAGCATTGCACCGACTTAAACTTCGAGTCGACTACGTAGCAGCTGTGTTTGCATTGTAAACAGATGTGTGCACAGCAATGACACTGATAATCC